ATGCCAGCAAATGTATCTGCTATTGACTCTGTCAGATAATAATGACTGATCATCTATGATGACTGATAGAAAAATGTCTAGTCTATTATATTGAATGGCGATCGGGAACAACGTTCCCCATTTGCCCATTTCAATCGCTATATTTGTGAAATAGTATACACTATTGTTTATTACGCTATTTTTTTTAACAATATACATATAAATATATATCGCACCATGTCCGAGAAGACGGTAATAACATTAACATTCGTCGTAACCATATGGTTTGGCTACATTGTGTGTGCTGGATTGTTTGTGCCTGAGACGTGTGTGGTTCTGCGGACCTGTAGCTGGATATTATTGACTTCACCCGCTCCTCTGAGCAGACTTTTTAATTGTTTATTTATTCAGAAAGGAAATTATACTTCTTGTGAAGTAGTTGAATGCTTAAGAATATTAATAAACTTTAGTAAAGCTGGTAACAGATCTTTTACCATCAAAGTGACCCTTTCTGTGAGGCAAAACAAAGACAATCCAACGGTTATATAATGACACATAATGAACACATAATGAACAAACGTACGATACACAAAAACACAGAAACACAGAACAGTGAGGAAATAAAGAGTTTAGATTAAGTATGGCAAATCTCCCTCAGCTCCACACGACTAATAAGAACCAAGTATTGATAAACACCTTAAAAAAAGGCACAGCTTAAAACCCACATAAAGAAATACTTGCATTACTCTCTCTTGAGTTTTCCTGATGTGCAAACAGAGGTTCTTGGAAGTCTTTTGTCGTTTACGTGGAGCTTGCAGCGCAGATCGTAGTGTCTTGAAAAATAGCTAGTCAAATATTATTTGCTGTCTTCATGGCAAAGATAAAATAAATCAGTTATTAGAAATGAGTTATTAAAAGTTAAGAAATTTGTAAGTAAAATCTTCTCTCTGTTAAACAGAAATTAGGGAAAAATATACAGGAGGGCCAATAATTCTATAATAATTCTGACTTTGATAGTAATTCACATGACATTAACAGTGGTAGAAAGTGTTGACTTTAATAATAAAGCAGTTTAGCATGTATGGATGGTCTTACTCACTTCCGTTATCCCACTAAAACCTTTACAGAGAAGTCAAATTTATCTATTTTAAATCCAAGATCTAGATAAAATCTCTGGTAGACCTCATCAGTTCACTAGGTAGTTGTGAAATGACTCGTCATCCGCTCTGACCCATTGCTACAGCACAGAAAACCACAAGGAAGCCAGTTTGTGTTTTTAACCCAGATTTTGGCTTGCCACAGTGAAGCGTATGCCTCTGCTCTTTGTGGTCTATGTAACTTGTGTGTGTGTGTGTGTGTGTGTGTGTGTGTGTGTGTGTGTTCCATCAAGTCTGCTGTGTGCTGCTCCACTGCCTCTTGCTCTTCAGAGCTGAAGCATGCAGGAAATGCAGTATTTAGAAAGTCTATTTTAGCGAGTGAACCGAGACGGATGGAAACTATTGTCTGTAAATCCTTTGCATAGACAAAACACGACTTTATGTTTTGAATAAAGTAATTAAGGCCATTTTTGAGCTAAAATATGAGTGATAATGCAAACTATAGAGGATTAGAGTGTTGAGATTTTATTACATTTGTATTTATTTGATTAGAAATAAACATCAGACATCACTCACTGAAATAAACACGCATAGATTGAGATGATGTGATGTAATGTACTGTTGTTTTTGTTAAATACGCCTCCACTTTCACATGCTATTTCGTTCATTGGTAGCATTCAGGGTCAGCGTATACATTTTCAGTTTAACTGTTAGCTTTACACCGTGTTTTAATAAAGCATCCCTGGTAGCAAAGAATTCTGGCCCAGATTTGGCATAAATCTGGCACAGCAGGCATTTAAACAGCATGTGGACCAAACATGGCCCTGATTTGGCAGAGATGACACAATCTTTAAGGTGGCACACAATAAATGGGCCAGATATAAATTGTGGTATTTGGCCCAGATGGTAATAATTGATATGTGGCCCATGTAAGCTTGGCCTATCGTGACCCAAATTTTAAAAACCTTGTTATTATTTTCAAATAAAAATAAATCAGTTCTACCAATCAGGTCACTTCAAGACAAAGCATGTCTATAGTGTGCCTAAAACACAATGATTCATTATCAATTTCAATTGCAGTTGTGACACAACGTTTCTGGCCCAGTTCAGGCTCAGTTATGGGTTATTAACTTGGCTTAGACTTGGCCCAGATATGGTCCATGTTAGGCTCTTGTCTAGAAGCCAGACTTGGTCCAGTCATGTAGCGTAATTCACTGCGGCATGTGGGCCAAGCAAAAGCTGATTGTGTGGGCCAGAGCTGGGACAGAGATATTTTGCTATGTGGGATGACACAACAAGATTCCAGCAATGTGCAATTTGACACCAGATATTCTGTCATTTATTTTTCTTCGGCCTAGTCTTTTTATTCATCAGGGGTTGCCACAGCGAAATGAACCGCCAATTTATCCAGCTTATGTTTTACACAGCAAATGCCCTTCCTGCTGCAACCCAGTACTGGAAAACATCCATACACACTCTATAGAAGGTTCTCAGTGTCATTCACACAACTAATCAAAACCATCGTGGTAAAATAAAATCAATGCAATGGAATAAACATCATTTATAAACATTAGATGTAACATAAAACTCTTATGTCACTGATGGGACACTTTTTTTATAGAACCATAGTAATGTCAGCAAATTCCTAAAAAAATTCAAGTGCAATGCAGGGAAGTCAATTCTGGGTAAGTCAATTAACAGTTATTCACTGTAAACATTAAGGAAATTTACTGTTAACCAGATTGCAGATTTATTATATTTTTTACAGTATTTACTATTGAAATCACTGACATTTTTATAGAGTTTGTCGTTCAGCTGTGACGTTGCAGAAATAGAAACCAAAGTAAAAACTTTATGCTTTTCTTTTCATGGCTTCTCAAGACAAAACAGACTTTTTTTTCAAGGGATAGTTCAATCAGAAATGTTAATTATTATCATTTACTCACTCTTCTCTTGTTCAAAACCTGTTTTTTCCCCTTGTTGAACACATAAGAAGATATTTTGAAGAATGCTGGAAACCGGTAACTATTGACTTAAACATGTTTTGTTTTTCCTGCTATTTAAGTCTATGGTTACATGTTTTCAGCCTTCTTCTAAATATCTTCCTTTGTGTTTAGCAGAAGATTTGGAACCACTTGACAAGAGTAAATAGGAAGTAAATCTGTACATTTTGGGTGAACTATGCCTTTAGGTACATGTGAGACCTGCTTATTAAGACTGAAACTACAGTATATACTGACATCCTGAAATAATGAACACAAACTGTACTCTTTTGCTGAGGTGGGAAGAAAATCCAAAATCTATGCTCAAGTAAAAGTACAAGTACTTGCGGAAATTTTTACTCTGGTAAAAGTAAAAGTAACAATCTTAAAAGTTACTCGAGTAAAAGTAAAAAAGTATTTGATGAAAAAATTACTCATGTAAATAGTTACTTAGTTACTTTTCATTATATGTTTACAGCTAAAGTCAAAATAATTTGCCCTCCTGTGAATTCTTTTCTTTTTCAAATATTTCCCAAATTATGTTTATCGGAGCAAGAATTTTTTCACAGTATTTCCTATAATATTTTTTCTTCTGGTGAAAGTCTTACTTGTTTTCTATCGACTTAAATAAAAGTAATTCTTAATGTTTTTAAAACCATTTTAAGGTGCCTATTGCCTAATTACCCTCACTTGCGGAATTAGCCTTGTTAAGCTTTTTAATGTTACTTTAAGCTGCATACGAGTATCTTGAAAAACATCTAGTCAAATATTATGTGCTGTCATCATGGCATAAGATAAAATAAATCCGTTAATAAATATTAGTTATTAAAACTATACAAATGTGTTGATAAACTCATTTTCTAAACAGAATTTTTCTGTTAAACAGAAATTTGGGAAAATATACAGGGGGGCTATTAATTCTGACTTTATATGTATTTTTACAAGTCATTAACACACTGTTAACCATTAAAAATATAACACTTTAACGTAAATTTTTTAAAAATAAAAATAGTGTTTAACTGTTATATTTTTAATGGTTAACAGTATAACAGGTAATCAGTTATTCCATTATACAGCAGTTTCTTTAGTTGACCTATAGTTATCTTTAATAAGGGTGAAATTGGGATAATATTGACACTTACCAGTGAAACATGTTTTTTTAGGGAGTTGCAACTCATGTATGTTGCAATGTCAGTTTGATGTACAGCAAGGATCGCATTATCAAACTTTTCTTGTTGACATCTTGGAGTGAAAACACTGACTGAACTTGAGGCCACGGGTGACCCTCTCTGATAAACCTGCTACACAGAGAGCATGACCGTCCTTCTCAGAACCGCAGATAGCCAGTGCGGCACCTCGCGATATTTGCAAACAAGTCATATGAATCATATTCATTATCATTTGACAGTAATGGAGGAACGCCACCAAATGTGGCGAAGAGTAATGATATTCCTCTAATAATGTACTTGAGTAAGAGTAAAAGTACACATTTTTAAATTTACTCAAAAAGTACACGATACCCATCAATTTTACTCAAGTAAATGTAATGAAGTGAATGTAATTCGTTACTACCACCTCTGCTCTTTTGTGCCATGCATTGTGTTTTCTTTAGTTTCTAAAAAAATCCAGATCATCTTTACAGATTGTGAAGATGTTTAGCACTATAAATTGGTTTTGTGATTCTTCTGTAGGAGACATTTAGTGTGTCAGGCGCCCAACATGTCCCGACCTGCCTCTTCCCAGCGGTTTAGTGTTTTTTTTCTAAACTGACCATGAGAAATCTCAGCATCTGAGCCCTTCAGGACATGATTGCTCTTTCAGTGTCTTGCATGGTTGGACTTACACACCACATGCTCCAGAAGAGCATTTGTGTGTGTGTATGCGTGTGTGTGTGTGTATAACAATGCATTGTGTTGACTCTTTCCTTTGGTCTTCTCTACAGAACTTGTACCAGAGCAGGTTTCTCGGGCTTGCAGCTATGGCCTCTCCATCTCGTGCATCTCAGGGCAGGAGGCGATGTAAGGACCCGATCCGTCACAGTTTTAACCCTGAGCAGTTCCCTAATGTGGACTTCCAGAACGGCGTGGCGGAGGATCTGGCGGCGGCCGTGCTGCGCTCTACCAGCGACACTGACCTGCTGACATCCCACTGCCGCTCCACCCTCACCGTTAGCACCTCCAGCTACACCATCGGTCAGACGCAGGACATCACCCTCAGCTGGGACATCAAGGAGGAGGTGGACGCCGGAGACTGGATTGGCATGTACCTCATTGGTGAGCAGCTTTCTGTTTGCTGTTGTACGCTGAAAGGAATATTTTAGGAAATGAAGACTAAAACTATTGGTCAGAAAACATTTTCATTAGGGGTGTAACCGATCAGGGTTGATCTGTGATCTGTACTGACAGACTATAACCAACAGTTCAGAATGCATGTGACCCAAGGATTCGTTAAAATGATTTTTTTTTTTACTTTTTGATGGAAAGCATTTGATTCTGTTACTAAATGTTCTTAAAATTAGTCTTAAAACCATAACAGAGTCGACGGTAACAGAGTCCATGATAACGTAGTCGATGATAACAGAGTAATCAATAACAAAGTCGATGGTAAAAGAGTCGATGATAACAGTCAACAGTAACAGAGTTGACACTAACAGAGTCAACATTTACAGAGTCAACAGTAACAGAGTTGTCGACAATAACAGAGTCGACAATAACAGAGTTGACAATAACAAAGTCGACGATAATAGTCAACGGTAACAGAGTTGACAGTAACAGAGTCAACATTTACAGAGTCAACAGTAACAGAGTTGTCGACAGTAACAGGGTCGACAGTAACAGGGTCGACAATAACAGAGTCGACAATAACAGTCAACGGTAACAGAGTTGACAGTAACAGAGTCAACATTAACAGAGTCAACAGTAACAGAGTTGTTGAAAACAATCGACAGTAACAGGGTCGACAATGACAGGGTCGACTATAGCAGAGTCGACAATAACAAAGTTGCCGATAACAGTCGCCGATAACAGAGTCGACAGTAACAGAGTTGTCGATAACAGTAGATTGTAAAAGGGTTGACAATAACAAAGTCGATGGTAACAGAGTCGACGATAACAGTCGACAGTAACAAAGTTGTCGATAACAGTTGACAGTAACAGTGTTGACAATAACAGAGTCGACGGTAACAGAGTCGACTGTAACAAAGTCAACGATAACAGTTGATGAAAACAGGGTTGACAGTAACGGAGTCAACAGTAACAGAGTCAGCAATAACAAAGTCAACAGTAACAGAGTGGACGGTAACAGAGTTGACGGTCACAGAGTCGACAGTAACAGTTTTGACGGTATCAGAGTCGACGATAACAGTGTCGACAGTAACAGTTTTGACGGTATCAGAGTCGACGATAACAGTGTCGACAGTAACAGTTTTGACAGTATCAGAGTCGACGATAACAGTGTCGACAGTAACAGTTTTGACGGTATCAGAGTCGACGATAACAGTGTCGACAGTAACAGTTTTGACGATATCAGAGTAGACGATAACAGTGTAGACAGTAACAGTTTTGACGGTATCAGAGTCGACGATTACAGTGTCGACAGTAATAGTTTTGACGGTATCAGAGTCGACGATAACAGAGTCGACAGTAATGATTTTGACGGTAACAGAGTCGACGATAACAGTGTCAACAGTAACAGTTTTGACGGTATCAGAGTCGACGATAACAGTGTCGACAGTAATAGTTTTGACGGTATCAGAGTCGACGATAACAGAGTCGACAGTAATAGTTTTGACGGTATCAGAGTCGACGATAACAGTGTAGACAGTAACAGTTTTGACGGGAACAGAGTCGTTAGTATCAGAGTCGATGATAATAGAGTCGACAGTAACAGTTTTGACAGTAACAGAGTCGACAGTAACAGGGTCGATAGTAACAGTCGATAGTATCAGAGTCGACAGTAACAGTGTCGACAGTAACAGTTTTGACAGTATCAGAGTCGACGATAACAGTGTCGACAGTAACAGTTTTGACGGTATCAGAGTCGACGATAACAGAGTCGACAGTAATAGTTTTGACGGTATCAGAGTCGACGATAACAGTGTAGACAGTAACAGTTTTGACGGGAACAGAGTCGATAGTATCAGAGTCGATGATAATAGAGTCAACAGTAACAGTTTTGACAGTAACAGAGTCGACAGTAACAGGGTCGATAGTAACAGTCGATAGTATCAGAGTCAACAGTAACAGTTTTGACGGTAACAGAGCCGACAGTAACAGAGTCGACGATAACAGTTGATGGTAACAGGGTTAACAATAACAAAGTCGACGGTAACCGTGTCGTTGTTAACATTAAATACAAAATGGATGTGTGTATGTATAGGAGAGAGTATGTCCAATAGGTTTCATTAGAAAAACTAATACTAAAACAAATTTATAAACAGTCACTGAAAAACTATATCAAATAAAGAAATAATCGTTAATAAGCACTCATTTTGCAATCAGTTATTTAAAAAAAGTTACTAAAACTATTATGTTTAGAAATGTGTTGAAAAAAATCTACTTTCCTTTAAACAGAAATTGGGGGAAAATATTCAGAAGGGCTTATAAGTTCTGACTTCAACTGAGTATCTCATGTGTCTGGTGCTATAAAGGTCACCTGGTGGCCTTTAAAAGCTGTTGTGGCATTCATTTAACACTTGAAATCTCAGTTTAAATGCTGAATCATGATGAATGATAGAGATGTATAGATAACTGGGCTTTTTTCTCCCTTTTCTTTCCCCAAGATGAGGTTCTGTCAGAGAATTTCCTGGACTACAAAAACCGGGGTGTGAACGGCTCGCACAAAGGGCAGATTATCTGGAAGATTGAGGCCAGCTCCTATTTTGTGGAACGTATGTGCATTTTTTACAAAACACTCTTATTAAATGATGCCGCTTGTTATTATGTAAGATTATTTCCCACACACAGGATGCCATTAGAGCTGCTTAGGGTTTGTTTGTGGCTGTAAATGTTTGTATGGTTGCTATGGGAACAAGCACGAAGATGAAACCCTTACGAACGCACCACAGTGCAAGAATTGATAGATGTTGTGAATGCTGTTTATGTTATGGAAAATATCATTCTCTTTTGCTTTATCTTCAGAATAAATGCATTGAGTAAAGTTTAGTTTAAGTGGATTGAATATGTAAGGGCAAAATGGACAGATGTTTTTGGAGGTGCAAAACAAATGACTAAATGTATGAATATTGTAAATGGAAAATATTACAATTTCCCTTAAACATCCATTTTACAAAGGGAATTCACAAATCTTTTCTTACAGTCTCTAAGAGCAAACATTTAAAAATATTATTAGGTACAATTTAAAAATATTATTATTATTATTATTATTATTATTATTAATTTTTGTGTTTTTATTTTGTTTATATTGTTTTATTAATTTATTATTAATTTGTTTTATTATTTATAATTTATTTGTTTGTTTATTTTATATTTGGATTATTATTATTGTTTTTATTTATATTGTTTTTATTATTATTCATTAATCTATTCATTTGTTTATTAATTTATTTATTTTGAATATATGTTCTTCTTCTTCTTATTATTATTATTTTTATTATTTTTATTTTGTTATTTATTTATTTATTCATTTGTTTGTTCATTTGTTTATTTGTTTATTTCATATTATTATTATGTTATTATTTATCTGTTTTTGTTTATTTATTTTGTTTTATTATTATTATTATTAGTTTATTTTGTGTTATTATTATGTATTTATTTATTCCTATATTTATTTATTTTGTATTAATAATAATTATTATTATGATAAAAAAATAAATAATTAAATTAATAAACAAGTAAATACATAATAATAACAATACAGATTATGTTGATAATAAAAATAATACAAAATAAACAAACAAACAAAAATAATGATAATAACAACAATAAAGATAATAATCATAATAATACGAAATACATAAACAAATAAATAAAAAATTATTAAATAAATAAACAAATTAAATAATAATAATAATAATAATAATAACTACAACAGCAAAAACAATAATAATAATAATTAGTATTATTATTATTATTATTTATTAGTTTGTTCAATTATTTATTTATTTGTTCATTTTATTTTGTTGTTGTATTATTATTATTACAATTATTATATATGTATTTGTTTATTTATTTATTTGTTTGTTTTGTATTTGCATTATTATTATTATTATTATTATTTGTTTGTTTGTTTATTCATTTATTTTGTATTATTATTATTTATTTTGTATTTGTATTATTATTATTTTTTTTTATTTTATTATTATTGTCATAATTATTTTATGTTTTGTGTTTGTATTTGTCTCAAAAAAGAGAAATTGACTGGCAGTTAACATTTTTATTTATTTATTTATTTATTTAAATTATGTACTGTCACCGCCGAACAACCAATTTTTCAATGTTGTTTCAGTTGTGATAAAAAATTCACTCACAAAAAAACACACAAAAAAAACATATTTAACTTCGATACAGTGTGAGTGTAATGAAAACATGCGGGTGTGTTTGTAATAATATAGAGCGCAGGTCTCAGCTGTTTGAGGGTTTTACACCGTCCTTCAGCTCTGAAAGCACTGGTGTATTACACTTCCAGGCCATATGGCTCATATGCTGTTGCTTTTTCCAAATGTATTTTTGGCACATGCACTGTTGAGGATACTAGAGGGAAATTGTGCCTACATGCACATTCAAACTCTCATCGCCCACTAAAGCACCAGGATTTCTCTTTAACTCATGCACAAAATGCTTAATCTGTATTTAGGGTTATATATTCACACTGTAAAGCTGTTATGAGTCAACTTAAAAATCTCTGCAGCAAGTTGCTTTCATTTTAAACTGAGTCAACTTTTTTTTCAGTGAGTGAAGGGGTCAGTTGAAGTCATTATTATTAGCCCCCTTCCAATTTTTTTTTGCTTCTTTAAAAATTTTCCAAATTATGTTTAACAGAAAAAGAAACATTTCTGTGAATATTTTACTGATAAGATTTTTTTTCTTCTGGAGAAAGTCTTCTTTGTTTTATTTCGGCTAGAATAAAAACAGTTATAATTTTTTAAACACTGTTTTAAGGACAAAATTATTAGCCCCTTTAAGCTAATTTTTTTCTACAGTAATTCAATAACTTGCCTAATTACCCTAACCTGCCTAGTTAACCTAATTAACCTAGTTAAGCCTTTAAATGTCACTTCAAGCTGTATAGAAAAATATCTAGTCAAATATTATTTACTGTCATCCTGCCAAAGATAAAACAAATCAGTTATTAGAAATGAGTTATTAAAACTATTATGATTAGAAATTTGCTGAAACAATCTTCCCCCCATTAAACAGAAATTGGATAAAAAAATAAACGGGCGCTAATAATACAGGGGGGCTAATAATTCTTAAAAAAATCTTTACAAAAACCTTCTCTCAGTTAAAAAGAATTTGGGCAAAAAAATAAACAGGGGGCTAATAATTCAGACTTCCAACTGTATAGGGCTGAAGGATTCTTGCTAAAATGTAAATGACAACTTTTTCTACATGAAATATGAGACCACCATTCTCCCAAACAATTCTCATTGTTTTCAACTTACATTTATTGCAAGTAAACACCAACAACAGGACATTTCATCACTTTAGAATTATAAGGTTCTATCTGACATTTTTGCCAAAATTGAGTTATTGACACTTTCTTATTAAATGACAACTTATTTAAATTATTTCATGTTTTTTATTAGTTGTTTTCATTTTAAGACTTTTATTTTAAAAAAAAACAAAAGTTGTACTCCAGCTTGACTCTATAAGGTTCTTTATGTGAGCCAATCAGCATTTTTTAATGCAGGCTCAAGGACCAATCAGCATCAGCTTTCTTTGTCATTCCGCCGGACGGCTCCATTGACAGGGGGAAAGACCAGAAAGACAAAATCAAACAAAATCAAAAGTTGGTTAAATCAGTGGTTATCGATTATTTAGCTTACTCCATTGGCAGATTATTTTGCTTGTTTTATGGAAAAACTTACTTAATTTTTACATTTTTTTTACAACGAGATGTTTTACTTGTGGTGACACAGTGGCTCAGTGGTTAGCACTGTTGCCTCACAACAAGAAGGATGCTGGTTCGAGTCCTGGCTGGGTCAGTTGTCATTTCTGTGAGGAGTTTGCATGCTTTCCCTGTGTTCGTGTGGGTTTCCACCGGGTGCTCCGGTTTCCCATAGAGCCCAAGCACATATGCTATACTGTAGGTCAATTGGGTAAACATAATTGGCCGTAGTGTATGTGTGTATGGATCTTTCCCAGTACTGGGTCGCAGCTGGAAGGGTATCCGTTGTGTAAAACATATGCTGGATAAGATGGTAGTTCATTCCTCTGTGGCGACCCCTGATGAATAAATGGACTAAGCTGAAGGATTATTAATGAATTAAAATCTTGATTTTCTTATTTTTGTTCAGTTCATCATGCAGCTCTATCCAGGTATGTTCTGAAGTGTGCAAGTATTACAGTGAGTTGTGTAAGGTGTTTTATTTGTGTTGGTAGTTACGTAAATCTAAATAAATCCGCTATACAGTTGAGGGTTTTGTTTTTTAAACAGTGATAAACTACAGTAGGGCTGTTAAAAATCCATTTTCAGTTTTATATTTTAATATTTGTTCATTTGATGTTAATAGGTTCATTCATTTTTGTTTTTCAAAATTATGTAGGAACATTGAAATCATAAAACAATAAATCCTTCTAAATGTTGGAAACATAATAAAAGAAAATAAAAAATAAAAGAATTTCCGAATTTTATAAATTACAAAAAACATAATATAAGATCATTAAAGCACCAGATACTCTACCTGGCTAAAGTCTTGTCTTCGATCTCAGTTTCTCAGTTGTAAGAGCAGCAAATAATAACTTGACTTCTCGTTGATCATTTGGAAAAGTGGTAGAGGGTACATTTTTCCCATGATTTTGTGCCAATCTGTTGAACTGCATCCCAATCATCACAAATACTGCTGAAGACCTATTGTAACCTGCATGGACCCAAGATTCTCATAGAAATCAGTCAAGTTTAGTGAAGGAAAAATTATGGTTTGGGGTTACATTCAGTATGGGGGCGTGCAAGAGATCTGCAGAGTGGATGGCAACATCAACAGCCTGAGCTATCAAGACATTTGTGCTGCCCATTATATTTACAAATCACAAGAGAGGGCAAAATTCTTCAGCAGGATAGCGCTTCTCATACTTCAGCCTCCACATCAAAGTTCCTGAATGCAAAGAAGGTTAAGGGGCTCCAGGATTGGCCAGCCCAGTCACCACAGACATGAACATTATTGAGCAGGTCTGGGGTAAGATGAAGGAGGAGGCATTGAAGATGAATCCAAAGAATCTTGGTGAACTCTGAGAGTCCTGGAAGTACGCTCTTTTTGCCATTCCAGATGACTTTATTAAGTGATTTGAGTCTGCAGAGATGTCTGGATGCAGTCCTCCAAGCTCATGGGAGTCATACACAATATTCATTCTTTTTCCACTGCAGCATGACTATTTTCTATACTGGACATTATTTCTGTTAAGTGACAAGACTTTTGTCTAAGCACAGTCAGACCTTACTGTCCTATTTAAATAATTCAAAATCAAGGCATGATCATATTTTATTTAGCTAAAATAAGTATAATCTAGAGGCTTTTGCCTTTCATATAAGCCACTTCTGATACCAAATGATCAACTAGAAGTCAAGTTATTATTTGTTGTTTCTAAAACTTGGAGAAGTGACAAGACTTTTGTCAGGTAGTGTATATATATTTTTCCCAATTTATGTAATTTAGTGAGTTTTTTTGGTGATAAGTCAATTTTTGTCTATATGCTGTGGGTATATATGTCTTGATGTTTAAGGTACAGGGAGTGGCGGAGGAGAGATTGGGTTGTTTCCAGGGCTATTTAAGATTTCAACCATGGCATAAATGATTGACACAAGCCTTGCACATGAAATATTATAGTTTGTGCTGAAGGGAAATGCAGTGGCACAGGTAGTGCTGTCACCTCACCTCGGCTGGGTCAGTTGGCGTTTCTGTGTGGAGTTTGCATGTTCTCCCTGCATTCGCGTGGGTTTCCTCCGGATGCTCCGGTTTCCCCCACAGTCCAAAGACATACAGGTGAATTGGGTAGGCTAAATTGTCCTAATTGTATGAGTGTGAATGAGTGTGTGTGGATGTTTACCAGAGATGGGTTTGGCTGGAAGGCCATACGCTGCGTAAAACTGTGCTGGATAAGTTGGCGGTTCATTCCGCTGTGGTGACTCCGGATTATTATTAAATCCGGACATTTAATAATGCCCTGCTGCTAAAAATTAGATCTAATAATGGAAATGGAAAAATGAAGTTATAGTTTACATTTTTAAACTGACCTTTAAATATGGCTGACCTCAACTTCCCATTTAAACATGAAATCATGAAATATATATACAGCAGGGGAAATATGCATTGACCACGTCACTATTTTTCTCAGAAAAAATATTTGTTGATGTTGACTTAAAATTTTCACCAGATATTTAATTTGTATTTTCTATTGGATTCAAGTCAGGTGATTGGTTGGGCCATTCTACAGCTTGTTTCTCTCTCTGAAAGTATTTGAGAGTCTTCTTATCTGCTATTTTAGTAATTGTCTTGCTGAAATGTCCACCCTGGTTTTATCTTCATCCTGCTAATCTAGATGTTGGACTGAAGCAGCTGATATTAATTTACAATGAACAAGGGCAGAGGGTTCCTGAAGAACAACTGAGAGATTTCAGCTGCTGTCTGAGCTTTCACTGTCTTTCTACACCTCCCTTTCTTCATGTGTTCAATACTCATTCGCTGCGTCATTTTATTTTATTACACATTGCACTTTATCTGTAGATTAATTAGTTTTGTTTTCTTTGCATATATGGATTTATATGATTGTTACTAACATCTGGTGAAAAGTCAAGTCAACAATGCCTATATATATATATATATAGCTGGCTGGGTCAGTTGGCATTTCTGTGTAGAGTTTGCATGTTCTCCTTGTGTTTGTTTGGGTTTCCTCTGGGTGCTCCAGTTTCCCCCTACAGTCCAAAGACATGCGATATAAGTGAATTAAATAAACTAAATTGGCCGTAGTGTGTGAATGAGTGTATATGGGTGTTTCCCAGTACTGGGTTGCAGCTGGAAGGGTATCTACTGTGTAAAACATATGCAGCTGGGTTGCAGCTGTGTAAGTTGGCGGTTCGTTCCGCTGAGCCGACCCCTGATGAATAAAGGGACTAAGCCGAAGGAAACTATATACATGTGTGTGTGTTTCTACATTTATTATTATTATTATTATTATTATTATCATTATTATTATTATTATTATTGTTATTATTATTGTTATTATTATTATTATTATTATTATTATTATTATTATTATTTTAGGTGCTAAGGAAACAGGTCTTATTTTTATTGAAAAAACATGAATTCAGAATAAAATACTGTAGAATTAATGCAATTGATCAAAACACAACCAAATAACTACACCATTAATTGAAATTATAATTATTAAACTAAATGTATTTCATTAATAAATTAAAATGATCATCTTTTTATTTTCTTTCTATCACAGTGTTTTCTCTCCTGTTCTGATGCATTTCATGTTTAAATAGGAAGTTGAGGTCAGCCATTGTCGAAGGCATACAACTAATAGACTATAACTTCATATTTCTATTTTTGCTCCATAACTGAAACCAGCAACAACCAGACACTTCCTGAAATAAAGTATAAGAACATCATACATAAACAGACACTATACCAGCTACTTGCTGTTTCTTTTCACACTCAAAAAAGGATGTTTGCTGTTTGTTTCTTAAGATTTTTGGGGGAAAACTTCATTGTTTTATGTTCAATCCATTTCAATTTGTACTACTAAGAAGTGAACTTAATTCCTGCATTTTTACAGTCCAGTAACTGCATTTATAGTTTATTAACCAACAAAATAAAAACCTCTGCAAATCTGAAATGATATTTGACATCTTGTGTGTTTTTCTGTGTTTCAGCGGAGACTAAGATCTGTTTTAAATATTATCATGGAGTTAGTGGAGCGCTTCGGGCCACAACACCATGCGTGACTGTGAAGAACCCCTCTGCACCGGTGAGCCAAAGACAATAAAACAAATCTGTCTTTTATTGTGTTTCATGATTTAAATGTCTTGTCATTTTGCCTTTAGATTAGTGGGAGTAAAAACTGTGACCGTCATGTGACCTGTGTTATAAAATATTCACTGTCATGATGAATTGTATAGCATGATGTTGCTGATGTAAAGGCAAATGCAGCAGTTTTTATCTTCCTTACATTTGACGAAGAGTTTTTGAAGAGCAGAGTAGTCTGTGCCATCTGTTTCTCAGAGGATTAACGCCGCAGATAATCTCAGGTTATCATTTCATGGCTTAATACAGCACCTCCATAGCAACACCGCAAACCACACATACACTCTCTCGCTCACATAAAGTGTGCTGCTGTTTGCCATAGAGAGAGAGAGAGAGAGAGAGAGAGAGAGAGAGAGTTTAGGCATCATTGTAATTTAAAATCAAGAAATCCTAGTTTTGTTCTGTCTTTTTTCTATTAATTGTTCTATCTATCTATCTATCTATCTATCTATCTATCTATCTATCTATCTATCTATCTATCTATCTATCTATCTATCTATCTATCTATCTATCTATCTATCTATCTATCTATCTATCTATCTATCTATCTATCTATCTATCTATCTATCTATCTATCTATCTATCTATCTATCTATCTATCTATCTATCCATCCATCCGTTTACGACTAACAAGTTGTATTACTTCGATGTTTTTGTTCTTTTGTTGCTTTGATTTCTTCTGTTGTTCCTCCTTGAATGTGGGAAGTGAATGTGTGAGAAAGGCATTTCAACACAATCCAAAGTCACCATGCCAAAAAAACTCCTTTGACATTAGAATTACTAGCATGTTGCATTATTAGTATTCACAGCGTGACGCAAACCTTTATGAGGCAACAACGTCTGACCTGAATGAGTCAAAGAGTCAGACCTTTTACAAACGAACTTATAGAAATACTAAAGAGTTGCATTTAGGAGCCAAATTATAATTAGAGCTCTATATATATATGATTTGAATAAAACAGTGAATCTTTGCTGAGAAAAAAAAATTATTCATGATAATGAATCTGTTCTGCAAAAGGTTTCTAATAAAGTCTAACACGCTTCACACTGAATTTTCCATCATCAGGTGTTTAAGCCGGTGGCCACAGACGATGTTCCTCAGAGTCAGGGAAGAAGGAGACTCATCAGCTTCTCTCTGTCAGGTGTGTGTTTCAAAAAAACTGGCCTGACCAGACAACAGATCATTAAGCTTTATAAATATTTATGAGGCTTCTATATTTAGTGTCTCCATGGGGATTAGTTATTGATCCAGTGCTTACAGGCTCCTGTAAACAATCAGAAAAGCATGATTACCTGCTTTTTGCCCAACAGAACACTTCCTCAAGAAACTTATTATTTAAGGATTAATAAATGTTAATTTCTGTTCTATTTCAGTGTATTGTTTTCTGTTTTGTTCTTATACAGTAAATACAGTAAATAATGATTTTTTTTCTGTTCTTTTCTGTTTAGATTTTTTGGTAAGACCTTATTTTAATGGTCCTTATTGCACTTTTCGTTGACTAAAAGTTGCATTGTAACTACATGGCAATTAATTCTCATTTGAGTATTAGTTGACTGTCTGCTTAATATCTGTTTATACTGCTCCTTCAGCACATTTAACTCACTATAAGAAACTTAGCAAGTACATGTCAACTTACACTAATCCTTAACCTAACCTAACAGTCTGCTTATGAGAATTAGAATTAGTTGGCATGTAGATGCAGTGTAACTTAAATTCAATAAAATGCGTTAAAGTGTCCAGCAAAATAAAGTGATACAGTATATTTTGATATTCCATTTTGATATTTTTTTATAATTGAGTTCTCTTCTGTTTTTGTTATGTTGTTGTTTATGTTGATCTGCAGCGTTTTGTTTATTTTACTTTGCTTCTTTGTTGTTTTTTTACTTTGTTATCTATCTGTGTTTTGTTTATTGTTTTGTAGTGTTAAATTAGCTCTTTTCTGTTTTGTTTTAGTCTTTTGTTTCATTATTTTGTTTGTTCAATTTTGCTTGTTATCTTAACAGTTTTTGTTCGTTTGTTTCGATATTTTAGTTTTATTGTGTTTTCTTTTCATTTTGCTCTTTCTGCTTTGTTTTCTTGTTTTTTTTATTTTTATTTAAATTAGTTTTTGTTCTTTTCTTTTTTATTGTTTTTTTTAATTTGATGAGATTTGCCAACTTGTTAATTTTACTTTGTATATTTAACTTTTGTGTTGTTTGTTTAGTTTATTATTGTTGTGTGTCAATTTTGTTATTTTCTGTTTTGTTTTAGTCTTTTGTTTTATTATTTAGTTTTTTCTGTTCAGTTTTGTTCTATTTTGTTTGTTATCTTTACTGTTTTGTTCTTTTTTATATTTTAGTTCTGTTCTGTTTTCTTTTTATTTTGCTCTTTCTGTTTGCTTTTCAAGATTTTACTTTGATTTGTTTTTGTTCTTTTCTATTGTTTTTTTATTCCAGATTTGTTTCTGTTTTAATTGAATGTTTTTGTTTGATTCTATTTTCTTTTTGTTCTGTTTAGTGCTCTGTAAAGTTTAATCATTACATACTTTATGTGTGTACTGTGTATATATATTATGCATTGTTGAAGTCAGAATTATTAGCTCCCTTTGATTTTTTTTTCTTTTTTTAATATTTAATGTTTAAATTATGTTTAACAGAGCAAGGAAATGTTCACAGTATATCTGATATGTTTTCTTCTAGAGAAAGTCTTATTTGTTTTATTTAGGCTTGAATGAAATCTGTTTTAAATTTTTTTGTAAATTTTAAGGTCTAAATTATTAGCCCCCTTAAGCTATATTTTTTCGATAGTCTACAGAGCAAACCATCATTATACAATAACTTTAGGGGGCTAATAATTCAGGGGACTAATCGTTCTGACTTCAACTTTATATATACTGTATAATTATACACATGCAAGCATACAAGTGAGAAAATGTTTATTTATATTTAGACATAAGATCTATATGTACAGTATATGATACAAATCATATGTAATATAAAAACAAAACTATCTAAAACTAAAATATTTATATACGTTTTTTGTGCATTTATATATAAATAAATATACAGATATATGTATATTTATTAAGTATATATAAATAAACAAATGCATTCATACATTTAAGAAAAGGTTTATTTATATTTCAGGCTGTCCGCTGGGTCTTAAAAAGTTTTAAAATGTCTCAAATTTCAAAAACTAAACTTTAGGCCTTAAATTTACTCAAATATTATGTATCATTTTACACAGGTCTTAGTTTTGCTTTGACATCTATTCAATGACCAAAAATACATCTCAAAATATATTTTTTTATATTTAAACTTTTTTTATTGCGTTTATTTTTTATTGTTAGATATTTTTTACAGCAAATTCCCCAAATTAAATTTCCTAATCAAACAAAACCTAAAAACAATTACATGATTCCTCATGATAATACTGTGCATTTAGAAAAAAAAAAAAAAAAATATATATATATATATATATATGTAAAACAACTATTATTTTGGATCGTCACAAATTTTTGCAGTTTCTGTTTTGTCAAGATATATTTTGTCATTATATTTTAATATTTCTATGCAGTTTTGTTTTAGTCTGAAATTTCTGTACATCTATTTTGTTCTCTTATATGCTTTTTTGTTCTGCTTATATTTTCTTCTATTGTTCATTTCTGTGCTGGTTCTTCTGTTTCTTTGATGTTATTTTCATTTTGCTCTCTTCATTGTCTACTTCACCTGCCATTCTTTTTCATTATGATCAGATTTCCAGGCCACCGGACTGAAAAAAGGCATGTTTTTTAACCCCGACCCCTACCTAAAGATCGCTATCCACCCTGGCAAACACAGCATCTTCCCAGCGCTGCCTCACCATGGCCAGGAGAAGAGATCCGGCATCGTCTGCAATACCATTAATCCTGTTTGGCAGAGGGAGGTATGGCAAACAAACAAGAGCAAACGCACCAGATTAAACATGCTTATATACAAATCCACATTAAACACTATCCGCTCGCCGTCTTATTTATTCATAGTCGTTTAACCCAACGCTGGCCTTCTGTGCTTTTGTAGAGTCCACACAGAGTTGGTCCTGTAAATCCTTCATTCTGCAAATAGACTGGATGCGTCACTGCAGACTCACAAACACTGACGCTGTTTGACTGACGGGATTTAACTGCATGTCATCTTTGTAGAGCTGGAAATTTGGATATTTAATTTATACAGTGCTCAGCGTATATGAATACACCCCTCACAAATCTCTCACTCAAATGAATGTTTTCTATATTAGTGGTTCTCAAAGTGGGGGTCGGGACCCATGAGGAGTCGCGGGACAATAAAGGGGGGATCGCCTGGTGATTTTCAAAAATCTATTAACTTTTATTAAACCTTAAGAATTACCATAATTTATCCATAACCTACTGAAAAGACAAAATAGTCATTTATAGTTACTATGTACTATATAATTACTATAGTAGCTTATAGTTACTAGTTCTATTGGACTGTGACCCCTAAGGTAATTACATTATATTAAAGACAATAGCATCTGATGCAGCAGATTGATTTTGTAATACCAGGTTAAACTTTCTGGCACATTTACAGCACTGACATACATAAAAAAAAATGTGAACAAAGACTTTTGAACTTGGGTCTATTGGTGTGTGTGCACCATTGCATGCAAGGTTTCTGTATTTATAACCACCTCAGAGGATATTGGAGGTCGCGAGTCACTGGCATTGTTATTTTGGGGATTGAGGGCTGAAAAGTTTGGGAACCCCTGTTCTATAGGAAGCTTTACAATATTAGATTTTTCCTTCACCAAACTTGACTGATTTCTGTGAGAATCTTGGGTCCATGAGGGTTCCAGTTAGGGTTGTAACAATATACCGGTATGACGGTCTACCACGATTTGAACGTGCACGATTATCATACCATGAACAATTGCATATCAACGGTTTTAACCCTTAAAGACCGAGACAGCCGCCCGCGGCTAAAATAAGTATTGCTCTTAAATGTTTAATAACTTTTGATCCGCTGATCCGATTCATACAATTCAAAGATTGGCATAAAGAAGAGAATCTCAGCTTTCCAGTGCGGACTTTCAGAGGCTTTTTGACAACGCTGATTTGACAAAGAAACGCTCGTCACTGTGTCTCCAGACAAACCAGACATGATACATTGATGCATTGTCCCTCCTCCATGCCCAGATTGGTTCAAACTCGCTATATCACAACCAATAAGCATAGGTTTCGCTTTTGTTTGTGGACCAACAATGAGCTTTTTGAACAACACGGAATGAGAGATAGGCATACATTTATGCGCGGCTAAATAAAACGCAAAAAAAAAAAAGTTTTGCATGAAATAATTCTCATACTAAGTACTTTTGCATGCACAACAGCACAGAAACATGACAAAACAGTGACACAGCAAGACGAACTGCTGCTCTTGCTGTTTTCAAAAGACGCAAATGAAGATGCAGCTGTTTGTCTGCATTGCAGACAACCATATCCAAATCCATATCCACAGACAACCATATCCATGCTGGCACATAAAACCTAAGGATGGTCCATATTGAATCTAGTTTAGTTATGTAACTATTTATAGTATAGTAAATATTTATATCTATTTTTTTACTGAGGATTTGCACCATGTTTATTTGGACTTTATTTGGACTTTGACACATTATTTATTATTTTCTTATTTTTTTATTTGTTCATTGTAAGTGGTGTTGTTTATAGTAACTGAAAATATATTATTTGGAAAAAGTCAAATTTGCTTCACTGTTCTATTATTTTGTAACATTTGTAACATACAGTACCGTATACCGCGAAACCGTCAAACCGTGGTATTGTTTTAGACGATTATCATACCGTAAAAAATTCATACCGTTACAACCCTAGTTCCAGTAGGTCTTCTGCAGTATTTGGGTTGATTGGGATGCAGTTCAACAGATGATTCATAGGAAAAATATACCTATTGCCACTTTTTCAAATGATCAACTAGAAGTCAAGTTATTGTTTGTTGCTCTTACAACTGAGATTGACGACAAGATTTTTGTCAGGTAGTGTACATTAGTCAGTACTGGCCCGGATTGGCTAATCGGGAGGACCGGGAGTATTCCCGGTGGGCTGGTCCATTTTTTTGGCCATGAGGGCCGGTGTCCCTAGCTGCCTGCACTCTCAGCAGTCGCACTATTTTAATTACTTTATTTATTTGACCATAGACTCATTCTTTTTATTCATTATTTTTCCGCAGCTCTGCTCTTTTTATTTGTTTTCTTGCAGCCTCATGAGCAGAATGCAGCCTGTAGCCTGCAGGTTAATGATGCCCAATAAAGAAATCTATAGTTTAGTATAGTTTGTTTCTTGTCAGATGTTGACTTTTAGGGCTGTATTTTGACGATCCATGCACAAAGTGCAAAGCGCAGGGCGCAAACGCATTAGGGCCATGTCAGAATCCACTTTTGCTAATGTAAGGACTGAAAAATCCACTTTGCGCAGTGGCGCATGGTCTAAAAGGGTTGAGCTTATTTTCTTAATGAGTGATGGGTGTGTTTTGAGATTAAACCAATCAGAGTCTCATCTCCCATTCTCTTTAAAAGTCAGTTGCATCGCGCCATGGCACATTTGCTATTTACATGAAGGCTTTGTAAAAACTGAGCATTTCACTTGCAAGAAAACAGTTAAGCAGTTCATCTACAGCACGAGAATGAGAGATAACCTTCCTCATAATATACTTTCACTCTCATGGATAGGGAAACCTTGTACGCACAGACATCCATTAACCTATAAATAATTAATTTTGTTTGTTAAGCACAAAGATTTGTTTTAACACTATTTCTAAATTCAGTGTTAATTTCCAGCAAACAAATCAATGAACAATAATAACAAAGTGTGGTCAAAAAACTGAGTATATCCAAACACACATGCTGTGCCCCATATGGTCTAAAACCCGACAGGTGGGCAAATCTAAGCTTGTTTTTAATAAAACAAATATAAATATGCATATAATAAATAATACTGCTAACAATAATAACATTAACAAAAGCAAATTGTCACAAATAAACTGAAAACAAACCTTGAGATGAAGAAGGCATGAAAGCAGTAGTTTTTACATTTATGTAGGCTAGAAAATAATGTTTTGTAATATTTTAATCGTTTATATTTATTTCCAATGTATATCCTTATTATATCCTATATATATCCTTAATATTTTAATTCTTTTTCATATGTAAAGATATTTGCGTATTGCTCTACATCTTGTGTGTATTAAGCAGTGTGTAAGCGAGGCGCACAGCTAACGAGCTCTGCTTTGGACAATAGACCGGCTTTGTTCTGTTAAAAAATCTATTATAGTTTCCCAAAATTGCAATGCGCCGGCAATGCACCTCGACAAACCTCCCTTTTTAGACTAGAACGCCTATGGGCGCACATATGAGCGCAAATGCATTTGCTATTTAAACAAGCGCGCCTTGCACCACATTGCGCCGGGTGTATGATAAAGCCCTTAATCTTCACTCACAGATACATAAACAAATTAAAGTAAACAAAATATAACCTCATATTTCAATTATCACGGATGCGGGAATGAAAACTGTGTGACTCCGCTGTCTTCTAAAGAACACGCTGCCGTCAGATTTGACAGACGCAGTTCTTAAAGAGCCTGCACACAATTTTTAACATGCTACATATCCTCAATGCAAAATGCACAAAATATCCATCTGAACAACACATATGAATATTCTAAGTTTACAAATGCAAACAATTAAAAACAAAAACATTCAAAACTGAAATGCATCATTTAACATTATTAAATCCAATCAAATCCTCCTTTAAAGGGGAGATTTAGCTACCCTTTAATGTTCTCATATTTATGACTAACTTTTGAAGTTATAAAGCAGCTGTTTCCTCGAAAAAGACTTGATAGTGTCAATAGAAAATTAAATACATTTGATTTGAATCTTTATTTTATACATATAGCTTAAATCATATTTGTATTTATTTGATTTTTTTTTAATTCAAGGTTAGGGTATTTATGAGCACTAACTCTTACAGAAAATAGATTCTGATACTGTTAAACATTACACTGTGTTGACTGTTCAAATAAATCTTCACTGTGATGTACTGATAATATAGTCAGTCATGAACTAAAGTGGTTTGGTCTAAGGCGTTAAACTCCAGGGCTGAAAAGCAGTCCCACTCCGGCCCTGATTCAGTACCTAAGCCAAATCTGGAGCTAATCTAGCAAAATAACTTAACTATGATAACAGTCTAAAAAGATTATTCAGGTGCAAATTCCACTATTAAATATGAAAATTATATTGAATTCATGTAAACAGTTGGATTTAACAGAATAATATTTCATCTTTTTGGAGCTGGTGACATCGTCTGAATTTAATGGCATTGTCTTCATGTTGTAGATGATCGTCTTCTGTTAAGTGTTTTTATTAGATTAGCAAAGAGTAGCAGAGATCACCTTACAGTAGAGGATTAAAATAGATCTAGAGAATAAATGACAGAGAGTTTAACTTCGGTATTGAAGTGATGCTGTTTTGCTTTAGTTGCTAAAAAAATGCAAGTGGTACTCACTGCAGAGCCACTTGGGCAGAGCTGAGCTCCAGCAAGGGGAAGTTGTGCCAACTGAACATTTTTATGTCTGCAGAACTGGAATGCCTAAAGTTTAGTGAACAAAACAAAAACATAATCCTTATTTTCTTTAGTTTTGTCTCGAGTACTCAACTTTTTTTTAAATTCACTGATAGGACAGTATAGACAGTAAAGCTTGGGGAGAGAAGAGAGAGGAAGGATTGGCATAGGACCTCGAGGCGGGAATCGAATTCAGGTCCCTGTGAACACCTAAGTGCCATGTGTCGACACACCAACCACTACAACATTGGTCCCGACGTGTACTCTACTTTTGAACACATCAGTTGTACTGACCTAAAATGTCCGAAGTTGAGTGAACAAAAAAACTGCGGAAATTGTTACTAAGAAATAATACATTATCTGAACAAACAAACAGAGTTCAACTGAAAATAAAAAACTAAAACAGAGACAACTGTTAACAAAACATTTATTAGAAACAGAATTAGAAACAAGACAGGGGGTAAAACAACAATAACGGTAAACAAGACAAGAATCAAAACATGGCAGGACAAACAGGGAAAATGCTTTGTAATGCTTCACATGTGAAGCATGCCTTCCTGTTTTTTCAATTGAACTATGTTTGTTTGTTCTGATAATGTATCAGCTGCATCGCTGGCAGCTAGCTCTCTGCAACTCTCACATGGTCGCCCACTGAAGCTAAGCAGGGCTGCGCCCGGTCAGTACCTGGATGGGAGACCACATGGGAAAGCTGGGTTGCTGCTGGAAGTGGTGTTAGTGAGGCCAGCAGAGGGCGCCCAACCTGCGGTCTCTGTGGGTCCTAATGCCCCAGTATAGTGACGGGGACGCTATACTGCTCAGTGAGTGCCGTCTTTCGGATGAGACGTTAAACCGAGGTCCCGACTCTCTGTGGTCGTTAAAAATCCCAGGATGTCCTTCGAAAAGAGTAGGGGTTTAACCCCGGCATCCTGGCCAAATCTGCCCACTGGGCTTTGTCCATCATGGTCTCCTAACCATCCCCATATTCCAATTGGCTTCATCGCTGTCTCCTCTCCACCAATCAGCTGGTGTGTGGTGTGCGGTCTGGCGCAAAATGGCTGCAGTCGTGTCATCCAAGTGGATGCTGCACACTGGTGGTGGATGAGGATTCCCACCTATTGTGTGTAAAGCGCTTTGAGTGCCCAGAAAAGCGCTATATAAATGTAAGGAATTATTGTTATTATTATTATTATCATTTCTTAGTACCAATTTCCACAGAGTTTTTTAAGCCAATCCTTCCCCTCTCTCCTCTTTCCACGCTTTCCTGTCTAAAGTCTTTACTGTCCTATCAATTAAAGGTGAATAAAAAAAAGTTGAGTACTTGAGTAATTCCAGTTCTGCAGACAAAAAATGTTCAGTTAGCACAACCTAAAAAGTTTTGGTACAGAGTAGTTCACCTCTCTAGAAAACGGATAATCTTATGTTAACCCAACTAAATGTTTTTTGTATTACTAACAAATAATTTTAGGTCAGTGCAGCTGATGCTTTCAAAAGTTGAGTGAACAAGAAAAAGCGAAAGAAAATAAAGATTCTGTTTTTTTGTTGTTGTACTGACTTATTTTTTTACACTGCACATTACAAACTATGAATACTTTTAAACATCATTTGTATACTGTTTTAAAGGGCAGTTGGAATTGCATTTCACCATATGATTATGATTTGTGGATGTGTGAATTGCAAGGTTTTCTTTGTGAGTCTTCTGTGCAATATTTATGTGCTGCCGTCTTGTCCAGGTCTCACTGGAAGAAGAACTACAGTAGCAATATCTCTAGTGACTTTCTTGCCAAATTTCAATTAAATTCATCTTTATTTCTATAGCGTTTTAACAATGTAGATTGGTCCAAAACAGCTCAACATAGAAGTTCTAGTAAATTGAAACCACTTCAGTTCAGTTTTCAGCGTTGAAGTTCAGTTTAAGTTATAAATAAAGGAATTATGGTAATAATAATAATTGATGTTGCCATTGTGTAAGAAACAGACAAGCTCTGAGTGAAATATCTGGGTATTTTTTTGTTTTGTTGGTCTTGCATTAATTAATAACAGTATTTTTTTATAGTAATGAAGAACAACTTCTCACATTGCATTCATATAACTTTATAAAATCCTTTATTGCAAGATACCAACATGTTTCCTTTTTCATTTTAGGTTATGAAATTCAGCTTGAAATGATTGCTGTTTCTTCCTCTGTGTTTTTATGTTTCCTGCCTGTAGCGCTTTAATTTTGTGTCTCTGCCTACGGATGTGTTGGAGATTGAGGTGAAGGACAAGTTCGCCAAAAGCCGTCCCATCATAAAGCGTTTCTTGGGCAAGCTGTCCATGCCAGTGCAAAGACTACTGGAGAAGCATGCTATCGGGTACGCATTACCACCACACCACATGACAACAACCTCAAAACTTTATTCATTCTGAGTGTGCCTCACACAGGTGAGTGGGCATGACAAACCACCTATAGAAACACCTTTCTCTCTTTTAAAGAAGCACTCTGCCCTCCAAACTCTAGCACTTAATTCTCTGAGCACTATTTCCCTTTGTAAGTCGCTTTGTTGCCGCCCTAGTTGTACGCCACTTTGGGACAAAAGCATCTGCTAAATGACTAAATGCAATGTAAATGCAATGAAAAGATAATCAAACTAAATCTAGCCTCTTTTTTGTAATTTAAGCAGTATTTTTTTAAACGTGACTTTGCTTTTCATGCTAATGAGGAGAATAATGTCCTAATTCTTGTCACAGTGATCGAGTGGTCAGCTATACTCTGGGTCGAAGACTTCCAACAGAGCATGTCAGCGGGCAGCTGCAGTTCAGGTTCGAGATCACCTCCTCCATTCATCCAGGTGAATACAGTTTTCATTATGTTTCTAAATATAATATAGCCTTAACATATTCTGATATGCATTTGGCTGCTCTAAAGGTCCCATGAAAGTAAAATATGTATTTTTTAGATGTTAGTATCGGTATGTTAGGTTTTAAGGTGATCTTTAAGCTAGTGTGCTCCAAAACAGTGACAAAATTAATGATTAGAAAATATAAATCTGACATCTAACAATTTTTTTTTACATCACCTCATACTTCAGTTTCTCATCAAATCTACTGGTCTCTCTAGCATAGACTGTAAAATATATGGACGTAGTATCTGTGACTTCACCCATAGGTTTCTGATAAGCGCAAAAGAAGCCACAAGTAGGCGTGGCCAACCGTCGCCATTATGTTCGCGCGTCATCGCAACCACGGTGGGATACCAAACAAGGGCAAAGAGGCGGAGAGTGAGCGGAGCTTCAGACATTTTGCTTGGACCCGGTTTATACAGACTTTACTTAGGAAGAATGCTTAATACTTTATTACCTGTAACTCGTTTGTGTTCTGACCACATGCGCTTGGTTGTATACTATATCATTAAAGTGTTTAGACTTTTAAAAACACTGCTGTAATACATTAAGCCACTAAACATTGTTCTTATATCATTTTCCTACAGGAGGAAAACGCAAATTACTTCCAAACACTTCAGATATAGTCTGTGTTAGTAAATGCAAGGCTATTGATGACAATGCTTCAGATGACTGCTCTAGAGCCTACAGCAAATCAATCTGTCAGATTCTGGAATGCATTACAGCTATAAATTTAATTGATAAAGGATCTTAAATAAAACAAATACATGGGTAAACATGGTATGTAAGTATAAAACTTTACTCACATGGGAAATGGAGACCAAGTAAATGGTTTGTGAGCACGATTACGTGCACACAGCATCCCATATCATCTGACAATTGTAGGAAATAAGTCCAAAAGGCAACTGACTGTGTAAAGCCACATAAAACAACAGAAATATGATAAATATGCCGAAATCAGTGGCTAATCTGCCGGAGTCAGCTGAGGTGACGTGACGGCAACCAGCAAGACCTAGCTGTCACTCAAATGGCCATGCCCTTAATTATGCAAACTTAATATAGCCTTATATAAAGGAAACTGATGAGTTATAAATAAATTCACCCCGCTCACAGTTGTCATGAAGGGTAATATTAGCTATATACACCAAAATCGTTCTTTGTACCAGGATGTAAACACCCTTTTTTCTGTTGTAAAGTTGGCCATTCTAACAGTGGGCTCAATTGAAATTTGCTCCATATGGAGCCAGGACTAGCTGTATTTCGATGAATTGCAGTTTCAGTTACTTCCGTATTGGCTTCCTGAGGGAGAGCGGGAGGTTGCCGCTTGGTCTCTAGCATCTGACATGCCCCGCCCCCAACAAGATGCTTCTCATTTTCTTTTCATTTGATGCACTTGATCTTACTGGCAGAGCTGTGATTAAACAAAACGCTATTGGCTGTTTTTAAAAAAAGGGGAGAAGCTACTTGATGTCCCGCTCTCTCTTCATGTTTCAGTTGAGATTGCGTCAGCGTTGACCGAAAAAATGCACATTTCAAAGCACTTTACGAGACCTTTACACAAAGATCTGTACATAGTGATGACCTGGTGTGGAACCTGGCTGTTAATAGTTTGTAGATTTGTGTTACAGTTTTCACCATGTCGACTATCTTAATATTTATGATAATTGATACAATAATTGATATAAATTTGTCAAATTATTTTTGCATATTAGATTCACCTCATTTAGGAATAAAGACTAGCAAAATTGTCAGATTAATGGATTGGTCAGCCAAATCTGTCTTGAGTCCTTTCCCAAATCTACCCTTATTCTTCGCCCAGTTGAATCCTGTCCTATTTCTCAATGCCCTTTTTAAAAATACACTTCTGTTCAAAAGTTTGGAGACAGAACATTTTGATGTTGTTATCATTATTTAAATGTTATTATTTGCATAATTTAATATTATTAACATATTTCTTTATATTTAAACACATTTTATAATGTAATCTATTTCTGTGATTGCAAAGCGGAACCTTAGTTTTAGTGTCACATGATCTTTTATAAATCATTTTAATACGGTGCTTTACTGCAAGAAACATTTCTTCTTATTATTGAAAACATGTATGCTGCTTAATATTTCAGTGTGAACAGAAGAATAAAATAAAACGCTCAAACACATTTATTAGAAATAGATTTATTATTCTAAATGTCACTTTTTTAAATGATCTTTTTATTGTTTTTAGCATAAGAAAATAAACAGTAACAAAACAGAAAAAAAGAGACAGAAAATTAACATCACAACTCTACTTATCTCAAACCAATCCCAACTATAAAGAGTTACAAGTCAGCATTACTGATATAAAACATAATTGGTTTGCAGATTTAAAAAAATGTGTTTAGTTTGTTTGTCATCCGCATTTCTTCCATGGGCAACACATAACTTAAGCTCCTAATTCAAGTTTCAAACACAGCCACATAATCTGACTTTCAATTTTGTAAAATTAATTTCTTTCCTAATATCATACACAAAGATACTGCCTGTGATATACCGTTAAAGTCAGAATTATTAGCCCCCCTAGATTATTAATTTGTTCATTTTTTTTCAATTTCTGTTTAATAGAGAGAAGATTTATTTTTCAACACATTTCTAAACATAATACTTTTTATAACTCATCTCAATAATATCATCTCATCATAATAACTGATTTATTTTATCTTTGCCATGATGACTGTAAATAATATTTGACTAGATATTTTTCAAGACACTTCTATACGGCTTAAAGAGACATTTAAAGGCTTAACTAGGTTAATTAGGTTAACTAGGCAGGTATGAGTAATTAGACTAGTTATTGTATAATGTTGGTATGTTCTGTAGATTAGCGAAAACAAATAAAGCTTAAAGGAGCTAATCATTTTGACTGTTTTTTTAATGTTTTTTTAATATATCTGTAAAACTGCTTTTATTCTAGCCAATATAAAACAAAAAAGACTTTTTTCCAGTAGGAAAAAATATTATCAGACATACTCTGAAAATTTCCTTGCTCTTTTAATCATCATTTGTGAAATATTTAAAAAAAGAAAAGAAATTCAAAGGGGGGGCTAATAATTCTGACTTTCATTGTATATTTATCTCCTATTTCTGTCTCCAAAAATGCCCAATTTTGGCTTTGGTGACCGATCAATCCTGTATACTAAATATAAATAGATATAAAATTAAAAATGCTCTGCCAAAATAAACAAATTTTATGGCATAAATAGAATGAGTGAGCCAGTGTACCTTCAGAGTTTTTACATGTGTTGCACAATAAGAAAACATTTGGAAAAATCTTATGTAATTTTAATTTTGAATAATGAAGTCTGTTGATAACTTTAAATTGAATCAGTTTGTGTCTCGCGTTGATCAAACAATCATGAATTTTGGAAAGATAATCTTCTCATGACTCATCAGATATCTCTGTATTTAGCTCCTTCTCCCACTCTTTCCTAGTTTTGTCAGTGTTAGAATTAACCTTATCTAATAATGAGTTATAGAAAAAGGAGACCTTTTCTACAGGGTTGTGTTTTGTTATATTCTCAAGTGTCTGGTGTTTGGTTATATTTTTAAAACCAGGGAAATTTTTCCTAGTAAAATCCCTTATTTGTAAATATCTAAAAAACTCAGAGGATTGAAGATCATATTTAGATTTTAACTGACTAAATGAGCCAAGTTTATTATCAACATATACATCTCTTATATGTACTAATCCTTTTTTTTTCCAATGTGAAGATGTTTTGTCTTGAGTTCCAGGAATAAAGGCATGGGTTGAACTTATTGGGCATCCAAATAAGTATTTGGTAGACCCTAAATGTCACTTTTGATCAATTTAATGCATCTTTGCTGAATAAAAGTTAATTTGTTGACCCTAAACATTTGAGCAATGTTTCAAATTTGATGACTAAAGGCTTAACTTGAAGCTAGTGTAATTGGGTAAGTCATTGCACAACAGTGGTTTATTCTGTAGACAATCAAAAACAGAGGGCTAAATTATTTATTAGAGGGCTAATAATATTGACCTTAAAATGTTTTTTAAATAAATGTAAACCGATATTATTCTAGGCAAAAAACTAAACAAATAAGACTTTCTCCAAAAGAAAAAATATTATAGGAAATACTGTGAAATATTTCTTGCTCTGGTAAACATAATTTGGGAAATATTTAAAAAAGGAAATTCACAGGAGGGAGAATCATTTAGACTGTATGAAACCTGAGCTCACGTGTTTTTCCCCATGCTTGGCGAATAAAGCTCTTTCTGATTTTGATTCTGATATATTATGCATCAGATCTAGACTGTAATTCTTGTATGCATCGTGCCAAATATGTGTAGGTCACAGATTTCTTCTCCCCACAGATGATGAAGACATGTCTCTCAGCACAGAGCAGCCGGTGGCAGCAGCAGAAGCTCAAGCTCAGCCTCAAGCTGAAGACACCATGAGTTTAGATCTCGGAGCCCCGGAGCTGCCCTTAGATGGAGATACGGCTTCAGTCGAGATGCCCATGGATGTTGAATCTGGTCAGAGTTGTGCAGCTGAAGCAGATGTCATAGAGGAAGAGTGTTTAGAGGAAGAACAGCAGGAAGGAGAAGCAGCAGCAGCAGCAGCAGCAATGGAGCAAAGTGAAACCAATGCAGAAGAAACAACACAAGTAAAAGAATTTAATTCAGTTTAAGTTTATTTGTATAACGCTTTTCACAATAATTATTGTTTCTAAGCAGCTTTACAAAAGGTCATTAAATTAAAAAGTTAATGTTATTAGTTACAATAACTTTATCAGTTACCAGTAATAACTTGAACTAGTTAACTAGTAACTAATAGCTTTAACAGTTGTTCTAAATAAGCATAATGAACCTGCAGTTATATAATATATACAGTTGAAGTCAGAATTATTAGCCCCCCTTTGAATTTTTTTTTTAATTTCCCTAATGATGTTTAACAGAACAAAGAAATTTTCACAGTATGTCTGATAATATTTTTTCTTCTGGACAAAGTCTTTGTTTTATTTATTTATATATTTGTTTTATTTTGGCTAGAATAAAAGCAGTTATTAATTTTTTTAAAAGCCATTTTAAGGATAAAAAAATGACTAGCCCCTTTAAGCTATATATTTTTTCGATAGTCTACAGAACAAACCATTGTTACACAATAACTTGCCTAACTACCCTAACCTGCCTAGTTAAGTGTCTTGAAAAATATCTAGTCAAATATTATTTACTTTCATCTTGGCAAAGATAAAACAAATCAGTTATTAAAAATTAGTTATTTAAACTATTTTGCTAAGAAATATGTTGAGAAAATCTTCTCTTTGTTAAACAGAAATTGGGGAAAAATTATTAGGGGGCTAATAATTCAGGGGGACTAATAATTCAGACTTTAACTGTAGGTAATGTGTACATGTTCAATGAAGTGTATTTGTGTATTAAGGCCCAATCCCAATTTTATTGGTCAATCTGTGCTTTTGAAAACACTATCGGTTGGGTTTGGGGAAGGAAGAGGGTGGGTCAGTCAGTCAGTCGACAGCGGCCTCTAGTGGATTAACACGAGAAGCGCAGACTCCAATGGCACTTGCAAGAGAAATTTAATATCTCGAAAAGCGTGCACAGTTGCCTCTGGCGGATTCGAGAAAACAAAGGCCCAGTCCCAAATCTATTTTTCCACCTCTACCCCTACCCCTTCCCCATGGCCCTTCAAACAGAGTGTGAGGAGGAAGGGCTTCAAATTTACCCTTAAGAAATGGGACAGCACTACAACACCAGCAAATATCATGAAATATCATTGCGAGCTCTTACTTCATATGACATTGACGATCCCGACTGCCGTACTTATTCCAGTTGCATTATTTTTGGGTATTAATCTTCAGGAAATCCCTTTAGGCAAACATATCATGTTATCATAATGATATAATGTGGCAATGTTATAATGTGGCAAAATGTTAATTCCTTGTCACCAGACTTTTCTGACTGGGTATTCCAGTGTCATCGAGTGACAGATGTAAAGGTATGTTGTGGGACTACTATATAGGAGTTAATATCATGGATTATAGATAGCCAAATTTAGCTTTTTTTTATTTTTTAAACATGAGCGTAAAACATGAATGCCATTATGAATGTCATAAAACATGCCAATAATACTAATGATGCCAAATTAATAATGCCAAAACATACTCAAATTTGTGCATCTCCTGACTCCTGTGTTTAGCCATGTTGCCGTTGTACCTGGTGTATTCTGGGAAATTTTCGTACTCCTTGGTTTCGAGTGTGGTCCTGGAAAATCCCTTTCCCTTAGCCCTATGCCTATAAGCTAACAAGAAATGAGACACCCCTAACCCTTTAGATGAATGCACAAAACTAGGAGTAGGGGTAAGGGCTAAGGGGAAGAATTTGGACCTAAGTGTATGTGTTGTCCTTAAAGTCTTGGATGATTGGCTTCATCTCTTCCCAGGTCTTGGATCCCATCAATGGCGCTGAAGAAGAAGAAGCAGAGAATAATTGCGCCTTTGCAGAAGAGTCTTCAGATGCTCGCGCAGGAGAGGAAGATGAAGCGATTTCAGATCCGCAGCCAGCTTCAGAAGAGCCGGATGCGGATTTAGAGGAAGACTGTTCACTGAGGATCCGAACCACTCCAAGAAGGAAACCCCGTCCCTGCTCTTTACCTGTCTCTGAGCTTGAGACGGTCATTGCTTCAGCCTGTGGGGAACCTGAAACGCCACGCTCTCATTACATCCGAATACACCACCTGCTCCACAGCCTGCCGGCCACTCAACCGCAGACAGGAGACTCCGCCGGGCCTGAACCAGACCGACCAATGGGTGTAGAGGAGGAAGATGAAGAGGAAGAAGAAGAAGGTGTAACTCTTGAAGATCATGCTTTAACACCCAATGGCCCTCGCAGGACTCTTCCTCGCAGCCGCTCTCACGAACGCCTCTCTGACCTCATTCAGATGCTGGATGGAGATGGACATCCGCTTGGGGCTGAGGGGCAAACCGGAAATCAGAGGTCACCTGATTTGAGCCCAGTGGCGTGCTGCAGTCACATGTCCCCGAGAGCTTCTGGTCCCATTCGGGCACAATCCCTAGACAGTGCGCGGAGGTCAGAGAGTACGGTGTTCTCCTCGCAGGATGACGAGGACGAGATGGAGCAGCCAAATGGCATTCTGGGATCAGAGACGGAAACAGAGCAGGGCGCTCAATGTCGGGAGCCAGGCGACGGGAGCTGTCAGTGGGAGGAGGCACCGGACAGTCACGTTCAGAGCCCTCATGGCATTGTGGGTAATGGAGAAGTGGCCGGACCGAGCGGCAGACGTGAGTAGACTAGCATGGGTTTTCAGGCTTAGTAGATCCATGTGTGTTGCAGGTTTGTAGAGAAGTTGTTTTCAAAGCGGTAGTTCACCCAAAATGAACACTTGCTGGTAATTTATTCACCATTTAAATCAGGGGTCACCAATCTCCTCCCTGGAGGGCCGGTGTCCCTGCAGGGTTTAGCTCCAACGTGCCTCAACACACCTGCCTGGATGTTTCTAGTATACCAAGTAAGACCTTGATTAGCTAGTTCAGGTGTGTTTCATTAGGGTTGGAACTAAAATCTGCAGGACACCGGCCCTTCAGGAACAAGTTTGACGTCCCCTGATTTAAATGGTAGGGGTGTAACGGTACATATTTACTGCAGTCTTTTGGAAAATTTAAATTTGTAAAAATAAAAAGCTTCATAAAATAACTGTGTAATGTGCACTGCACTCAACAAGAGAGACCAGATGTCATTGACAAATGTGAAAACAGAGTAAAAGCACAACGATTTCCATATAACAAAAAAGATAGTGCTATATAGTGCAAAAAGTATATATAATTTTTTCCCTAATAATCTGCTGTTTATATTTTATATGCTGCTAAAAAAGAAACCCCAAAAGAGAGATTAAGTATATCTCCATTACTGTTCAAAGTAAAGAAAAGATAATGCGTTTGATCGTAATTTTAATAAATAAAAAGTTTATAGAACTATAAATATTAATAAAACTTAAGGAATTGATTTTTTTATTGTTTTGAAAAGTTACTAAACTGTGACACTATTGTAATGTAATGTGTAATTATATAGTGCATTTATCATGTATTTCCCAGAGATGGGTTGTTGATGAAAGGGCATCCGCTGAGTAAAAACTTGCTGGATAAGTTGGCGGTTCATTCCGCTGTGGCGACCCCGGATTAATAAAGGGACTAAGCCGACAAGAAAATGAATGAATGATTTATCATGTATGGCCATAAACACAAAGCGCTTCAGTCATGAGGGTGGGGGGTCTCTCCGCATCACCACCAGTGTGCAGCATCCACTTGGATGATGTGACGGCTGCCACAGGACAACGGCGCCAGTGTCCTCACCACACACCAGCTATTGGTGAAGTGAAGAGACACTTATAGAGCCAGTTTGGTATATTGGGATGATTGGGAGGCCATGATTGTAAGGGCTGATTAAGGGACTTTGGCCAGGGCACCGGGGTACACCTCTGCTCTTTACGAGAAGTGCCATGGGATTTTTAATGACCACAGAAAGTCAGGACTTCGGTTTAACGTCTCATCCGAAAGAGAGCGCCCACTAGCAGTATAGTGCCTTCACTTTTACTGGGGCATTAGGACTCACACAGACCACAGTTTGCTAGCCCTACTTAGCTTCAGTGAGTAACTAGTCTTGGGCTGCAGGGTGATATGGCTGTGGATATTGTATCGTATCAAACAGAACTCCAAATTTGGCGAATCATTACACCCATCTAAGATGTTTACTTTTAAAGGTTAAAGAAGCTTTTGTAGATGGTCCTTCATAATTTATTAAATAAACGTTAGTGGCTATTAACAGAGTAAAAAACATACAAAAAAACAACAATACAAAAACAAAGCAAACTTAATACCAGAGGTCTTATGAACTGAAATAAGTCTGTCTAATCAAATGATCAAATTAACCCCTGTGTGCTGTTGGGGAAGTTTCCATCCACTCTGGATTGAATTTAACTCTTAATTTGGCCACAACTTTCTCTGTATTTCAGCAAATGGACTGATTTTTGGGACAAATCTTATTTTGACACATATTTTGGTAAAATGCTTTGAACGTTTTCAAAAATTCAACAATACGCTGTGGGCAAATTGACTACCCTTTCGTTATGTTGGTGGCTGTTTTTGCCCCATTGACTTCCATTATATTGACATATTTTGATTGCCAAGCCATGGCAGCATATAATCATACATACTTGATTGTTGGTGGTTTTACTGTTGATCGTAAGTTGCAGTGCAAAAACAGCTTAGTTTCTCTCTTCTATATGGAGTATAGTGTGAGTGTGTGCATGTGAGAGACTTATCTTGATATGTCTGAGAAAATCAAAATAAGCAGCTCAGCTCTCAGAACATTCATTCATTTTCTCGTCAGCTTAGTCCCTTTATTAATCCGGGGTCGCCACAGCGGAATGAACCGCCAACTTATCCAGCACATTTTTACGCAGCGGATGCCCTTCCAGCCGCAACCCGTCTCTGGGAAACATCCACACACACTCATTCATACACACACTCTTACACTACGGACAATTTAGCTTACCCAATTTAGCTTACCCAATTCACCTGTACCGCGTATCTTTGGACTCTGGGTGAAACCAGAGCACCCGGAGGAAACCCACGTGAACGCAGGGAGAGCATGCAAACTCCACACAGAAACGCCAACTGAGCCGAGGCTCGAACCAGCGACCTTCTTGCTATGAAGCGACAGCACTACCTACTGCGCCACTGCATCGTCGCTCTCAGAACATAGTAAAACATAATAAATGTATTTATGCACACACACTATAATCTGATGTTTTACTCTATAAAACTTCATATGAAAGCCAGAAAGTTTTTGCACAGGCCTATCGAAAGAGTTCATGCTAAAGTCATTATAATGGAAGTCAATGGGGCAAAAAGAGCCACCAACATAATGAAAGGGTAGTCAATTTGAACAGTACACAAAGGTTAACATTACTTAAAACATTATTATTTTTAATCTACAATCTCATCAAGCAGCCCTTCATGGCAATCATATCACAAGCTTCCTGTCGCATAATTATGTATATATGTGTAAAAACTCTCAAATGAACCGACGTTTTTTATTGACAATAAAAAGCAGGGACACACAGATAATAGTTCATCAAAATAGTACTTGTGCGTATATGTACAAAGAAAAGAAAACACTTTTGTGCATGAACACAGACTGCACAGATGCTATTTGCCAAATAATATTGGACTTGCATAGATCAGATTACCTTTTTTATGTACTGATATGGAAAAAAAGGTCCTAATTTTTTCATTTGACTGTAGAACATTAACTGCAAATGTTCATTTTGGGGTGAAAATTATCAATTTGGGGTACACTGACCTGTGATAGAAATTTATCTATGAAGAATGTGCTGGCTTGTGTTTGTGGTGTGTTTAGGAGAATGTCCTTTGCCTTGTAACCACCCTGCAGTGAGTCAGCTGCCTGCCCTGCGGCCCGATCCACACCACTATCCCACCATTGATGAGCCGCTGCCGCCCAGTAAGTGCTTCTGTCTCGCACAGCATCATAATACACTCACAGTCATACAAAATGCTCCTTTTTGAGTAGGGAATACAGGTGAACGAGCTGTAGGTTCACAAAGTAATATATTCTAAATCAAAAAGTAGATCAAAGTTGTTTTGTTTTTGCATTACAATATAAAGGGGACCTATTATGTCCCCTTTTTAGAAGATGTAAATAAGTCTCTAGAGTGTTTATGTGAATCTCAAAAAAACCCCACAGATAAAGTTTTATAACTCTTTGAAACCCTTTTGATCCTAATTGTGCCGTTTTGGGGACTGTCACTTTAAATTCAAATGAGACTGGGCTCTTTTCAAAAGAGGGCGGAGCTACAAATGCCTTTGTGTCAGCATAGTGGCAGAGTCAAAAACAAGACTAACGTTCTATGCTAATTAGGGAGAGGTCATCACTAGTGGGTGGGGCTTTCCCCCTCTGATGACACGTACAAAGGGAGAATGTGTTTCTGCAAGTTGATTCTGATTATAAAAAAATACAATGTAGAAATGTTTATTATTACAAGTTGGCTATATTTACAACTGCATAAAAACGCCTTATAAAAGTGATTTTTGCATATATAAGTAATAATGTGATATGTTTTTATTTATCAAAGACTGATTCAATTCATCATAGTATCGATAACTACATGTATGATGTTACAAAAGATTTTGGTTACTAATAAATACAGTTTTTTGCTGGCTCATCAAAAGATGTTAACTAACTAACTGTCTTCAACGTTCATTTAGGGTTCATACGGTCATGGAAAACCTGGAAACGTTTTGACATGGCATTTTCCAGGCTTGGAAAAGTTTTGGTAAAACAGAAAAAGCCACAAGGTTTTTGGAAAAGTCATGGAAATTACATTTACATTTAGTCATTTAGCAGATATTTTTGTCCTAAGTGACTTAAGCTGTAGTCACACTAGAGCTTGTGCTTGCAAAATTCTGTCGTACGGTGCTGCAAAAAAGGCGGGCTTAAACAATATGATTAGTTGTTAATAAAATTAAGCAATCGCTCCATATTTTAAATTTCTTATTTTAAATGATCTTCTATTAGTCTCATGCAATCACCTAATGTGATTTTGCAGGTAAAAATTCACCAAGCTTGAACTTCCGAAAGCAGTGAAATGCGAAGCTTGTCGCACGTGCCTGCATTTCTGGTCTGCCGCATTTGCATGCCTATAAATGGAAGTCAATGGAACGAATAGTGCAGTGTGATCGCGGCTTTATAATAGAAGTTGTTTTACCTACTATTACTAGTTAAACAAACTATTAAGATTATCTCAAATTAGTTGGACAAATCGTCACCTTAGAATTATAAAGTTCTATGTGACATTTTGTCAAAATTGAGTTATAGACATATTCATATTAAATGACAGCTTATTTACATTATGGGATGTTTTTTATAAGTTGTTTACATTTTAAGACACACATACTGTTTGCTATGGAATGCAGAAAACGTTGAAGCACAATATCTCAAAAAATCATCCAGAACGCAGATAGAGCCTTATGATTCCAAGGTGACAAAATGTCCGTCTATTTGAAAGGAGGTTTGAATGGAGTTCAATTCAATTCAATTCAATTCAATTCAGCTTTATTTGTATAGCGCTTTTACAATGTAGATTGTGTCAAAGCAGCTTCACATAAATGGTCATAGTAACTGGAACAGTGTGGTTCAGTAACTGGAACAGTGTGGTTTAGGTTTTAGTGTTTTAAGTTCAGTTCAGTTCAGTTTAGCTCAGTTCAGTGTGATTTATCATTACTGAGAGTTCAAACACTGAAGAGCAAATTCATCGATGCGTAGCTCTACCAATCCTGAAACATGCGAGGCAGTGGCGACAGCGGAGAGGGAAAAAAAACTTCACCTGATGGGAGTGAAGAAAAAAAACCTTTACTTCTTTTCTTTTCTTGAAAAGGTCTTTACTTCTTTTTTTTTCTTGGCCAAAAAGACATTCTTACATTATTAGTTCTGTGTAAGCATCATCTGTTTTACATAGATATAAAATAAATAGAAACTATTGCATGTTTTATGATATTTTGTAATAAATGTTAACGTTTCTTATGATTTACCATGTATATGTAGACATTAGATGAAACAGTAGGTCATGAAAATTGACTTGAATGTCTTAGCAAAGTCCAAATGTGTATGAACCCTGTTCATTCTAATAATAGTTTCTTGGTCATCAAACCAGTTATTAACAAATTATTACAATATCTAAAGGATCATGTGACACTGAATACGATAAAAGTGATACTAAAATATAGCTTCGAATCACAGATATTTGAGTAATAAAAAAATATTTATTCTGTGTATTTTGAATTTAGGAATATTGCAGCCAAAGTCAGACTTAGAGACTCCTTTCCAAACCATTAAAACTACTGCTGTTGCTAAAAATAAGTATTTTGTATACCCTAACAAACTCACTTATTTTGAGTTAATTTGACTATTTAAATGAGTTATTATTCAACATTCTCCATGTGCTCCGGTTTCCCCCACAGTCCAAAGACATGCGCTATAGGTGAATTGGGTAAAACAACAATTCGCCATAATGTATGAGTGTGTGTGGGACTGTGAGCGTGTAAGGGTGTTTCCCAGCGTTGGGTTGCAGCTGGAAGGGCAGCCGCTGCATAAAACATATACTGGAATAGTTGGTGGTTTATTTCACTGTTGCGAACTCTCATAAATAAGGTAAATAAATGAATAAACTATTAAAATCGAGTGTATTATACAGGGTCCAGTGTCATCTAATAATTCATGACCAAATTTCAGAAACCTTTAAAGCAGTTTATAGATTGACCCATATGGGGTTGTGATTGAAAAATAAACACTGCAGATCAAAATGGTAAACCCATCTACTAAATGTATCAGTTTAACCTGGTGTACTTCACATATTTCCTGTTGCATTTCAAAGCAGTCTATAATCACACTGCAACCAATCGACACAAGATCAACTTTCACATCAGATAGTAGTAGTGCAGCCTGGCTCTTACTAACCCACACACCGAGATTTCACCTCTGATTACCGTCATAACAACGGCAATTCAGCAGGAACCACTTTAAAGTACACCACAGCCGTCTGCCACTTCTTTTATCTGCTGGAGTGTGTGTGTGTGTACATACGTATGTGTTTGTGTAATGTTCCCACAAAATGACTCAAATATCAAACCTCCTACATTTGAGGGGATTTTCGAAGTAAAAACAAATGTACAAAGGCATTAAATGATGACCTAATTAGATAAATGTAGACTCAATACCGCTTTTTGATATCATCAATGATTGGAATCAGTGATATTATTAATGTTTTTGCTAAATATTTATGTATTTATATGATATTTATTAATCATTTCTGATTAAATAAATGCAGCATTGATGAGCATAGTGGGCTTCTTTTGACCCGCAGTGTATATTAAATGCTAAGCTTAATTTTGAGCGTCAAATGTTTTGGTTTTGTTTGGCTCGTTCAGACTGGGAGGCCCGGATCGACAGTCACGGTCGTGTGTTTTATGTGGATCACATTAACCGGACCACCACTTGGCAAAGACCCACATCTGCAGCCACGCCGGACGGCCTACGCAGGTCTGGATCCGTCCAACAGATGGAGCAGCTCAACAGGAGGTAAACAACACTGGGCATCAGCCATTGCTCTTTTTTGTTATTCTATACTTTTTTTTTTTTTTTTTTTTTTTACCTCAATTATGAGATATTTTGAAGAATGCTGGTTGTTTGACTTCAATAGTAGGAAAAGTTTACTATGGGTGCCATCTATCAGCATTCTTCAAATAATCTTTTTTTTGTGTGTTTATTACTGTAGATCAGTTGCTTAATTACTTTAGATTTATTGTTTTATTATTGCGGTATTACTACAGGCTTCTTACTGGAATTTTATGCAAGCTTGTAATTTTTATTTGTAATTGTATAGCTTTTATTGCTTTGACTTTGAGAAAAGCACATCATAAATTAAATGCATTATTATTATTATTATTGATATAATTATTATTATTGTTATTGTTGTTGTTATTATTATTATTATTATTATTATTATTGATTTTATTATTATTATTGATATTATTATTATTATTATTGATATTATTATTATTGTTATTATTATTATTGTTATTATTATTATTATTATTATTGATATTGTTATTATTATTGTTATTATTATTATTGATATTATTATTGTTATTATTATTGTTATTATTATTATTATTATTATTATTATTATTATTATTATTATTATTATTATTGATATTGTTATTATTATTGATATTATTATTGTTATTATTATTGTTATTATTATTATTATTATTATTATTATTATTATTATCCAACAAGTTGTTGCTCTTATAATTATTTGCACACTTTTACAAAATAACCTGGAATACAGATCAACTGAATTGAACTCAAGTTCACCCAAAAGTTTAAATTGAGTTAATAAAGTGGATTATCTGAATTGTTTTGAATAGATACGCGTAAAAGATAACCATCCTTGTCTGTTTTGTGTGACCGGGACAGGTGGTTGATCAACTTCAATAATAGGAAAAAAGTCAATGGGTGCTATCAATCAGCATTCTTCAAATGATCTTTTTTGTGGGTTTATTACTGTAGATCAAACAAATTTTTGCTCTTTTTTTTTTTTTTTTTGTATATTTTCACAAAATAACCTGGAATACAGATCTGCTCAATAAGGCTGCATTTACACAGCAGATCTTGATGGTCAATTCTGATTTTGTGACTGTATCTAATGTTTTTGATGACCTGCTAAAATAATTTTTTAAAAGTGACTCTTATCCGATCGTCTGCATTTACACAGCACACATCAAAGGTGCAATGACCAGGAATAAAAAAGAGCTGGCGCTGACTGACCGCTTATAATTAAAGAGTGCTCTTTCCTATATTCATGTATGTAATCTGTTCGCAGCTTTTGGCAAGCTGATTTACTATAGTTTATGACAGAAAGGTTCTCATTTGTTCATCTTATTTTGATATATCAGCTTTTTTTAACCTTTATGCATCTTAATGTAATGTCCATGGCATGATTTATGCACGTGATGTATGCACTAGTTTTATATTAGTTTATATTGGTTACGCGGCGGACATTGCACTCTCTCGCTCTTGTTAACATGCTGAAATACCTGTGCTATATGACAATATAAAAGCTGTTTAAGTCCTCGTGTGTGAGATTTAAGGTTTGGGACTCTGCTGAAGTCTGTTCTGAAAAGATAGTGTCAAACTTGACGTCATTCGCTACGGTTTTAATGACGCGTGACTCGCATTCACAGGTGAAAATCCGATCTACCTGCTTACACTGCAGACATGAGAACACAGATCCGACTCGTATCAGATAAATGTCCACATATGAACAGCCCTGAATCTGATTTGAGTAAATCGGAACACATGTGTTTTATTCCTGCGTACATGGGCTATATATGATCTGTCCCACCTGGGAGAAAAAAATCGGAATTGAGTCACTTAAACAGTGCAGTGTAAATGCGGCCTTAGACTCATCCGATGAAGATTTAAAGGGATAGTTCACCCAAAAATAAACTCAATTTATTCTCCCTCATGTGGTTTTAAATCTTTACGAGATATTTTGAAGAATGTTGGTTGATCGATTTCAATAATAGGAAAAATTGACCATGGAAGTCAATGTGTGCCATTAATCAGCATTCTTCAAATTACCAAGTTTTGTATGTTGGGTATAAATATTTCAATTGAGTCCTGACAAAAAGCTGTACTGACATAAGTGTCTAATAAAAGCCAAACCTGTGTCCTCATCAGGTATCAGACAATCCAGAGGACGATGGCCACCGAGAGGAGAGAAGAGGAATCAGGAAGCCCCCGTAATGACAGAACAGCCAATACTGAGACAGACTCACCTCTGCAAACAAACGGTGACTTCACACACATCACACATAATGATCGTTCGTCCTGTTCAGTTAAAAGGGTGAAAAGCATTCGCAGTCGCAGCCTGTTTGTTTTTGTTTATTGTGTGCGCATTTTATTCAATGCATAACGCTCTTATCTAGGTCCTTTGATATGCTTCCAGCTACCAATTAGAGAGTGATTTTCTCAGCCCCATTAAACACCATTTACAATGTTTAAACCCATTTGCAGAATTATCCTAATTTCCTAATCTAGATTCCACATGTCAACGCTGCTCGATTGTGTATTACAAATACAGACTGTATAGTAACACTTTACTTGAAGGGGTGTTCACATAGGACATTATAAATGCAAAGATGACTTAGTTCGTTATGACAACTTGACATAAACAAATACATCACAATCTGTTTTTGTATTTGTCATGACAGCTTGACATTACAGACAACAAAAGTTGTCATAAATCTGTCATAAAGCCGTTATAAAAGTGTCGTGAATTTTATAACAGCATCATTAATATATTGTTTTGACCTCAACCACAGTGCTACAAGCTGAATTTGTCATTAAAATGTCATTAAATAATAATGATGCTCTTAAAAATGCATTGACATAGTAAAGACACTTTTAATGAGAGATTTGAAGAAGAGTTTATTCCACTGAAAATGTCTACCCAAGCTCATTCTGAAAACGTTGTCCCGTGGACGTTTCTGGAGCCCGCAAAATATGTCCCGAGGTACGTATAGCTGCATTTCATTTTTTTAAGCGAACGCTATAAGGCGGTGTGACGCTGTTTCCTTTCGCGCTTGCCGGCTGACCGCTTACCTCCGTGTGGAGGGCTTTCCCGCCGCAGTCAGTTTGTCCGGTCAGCTCATCGTGTGCGTCGGCGGACTTCAGATGCAGAGAGGAGGAGTTGACAAAGGCGTCCGGGTTCAAGTCCGGGGAAGAGCAGTTCCAGAAACCAGGTAAGACAAAAACAGAATCCAAAAAATAAAGCGAACGAGTTCATAACAGGGTGAGAACGTGGTGAAATCCGAAAACGTGGTTAAAAAAAAAAACAGACGAGGGTTTTTCTTCTTCTAGACGGCTTTTCTAAATTGTTGCTCGGGTTTAGGGAAGTGAGCGGGCGGGCGGGTCAATTGGTAAAACTGGTTGGGTCCAGGGAAGGAGGAGGGTGGGTCAGCCAATTGGCCGGTCAATCATTCGGTCAGTCAGACAGTGGCCTCTGGTGGGTTGACGCGAGAACAGCGCGGGCGCAAACGGCACTCGCGAGAGACGTTCGAGATACGAAAAAGCGCACACAGCGGCCTCTCGCAGATTCGCAAAAACAAAAACTGCACAAATACGTACCTCCCGGGACGTATTTCGCGGTCTCCAGAAACGTCCGCTGGACTACATTTTCAGAATGAGCCTGGGTTGGAAAATGTGACCATGAACTTTGACACAATTATAATTAATTTAATTTACATTTATTATTATAGCATGTTTACAATGTAGATTGTGTCAAAGCAGCTTAACATAGAAGCTCTAGTAAATTAAAACTGTGTCAGAAAGTTCAAACACTGAAGAGCAAATCCACGAGTCCCAAATCCAAGCAAGCCAGTGGCGACAGTGACGAGGAACAAACTTCACCAATTGACAAAAGTGAAGGAAAAACGATCTCGGAAGAGACCAGGCTCAGTTGGGAACGACCATTTCTCCTCTGGCCAAACTTCCTGTGGAGAGCTGCAGTCTAGACACCGGAGGCTGGAGAACGCTGAACTTCCATTGTGGAGAAGTTGCAGGTGTGAGTAGGGCACCGGCGGGTGTTCAGACTGGCCTACGGGATCAATGCAGAGACTCGTCTGTCACTGCTGTCCTTCAGGAATCAGTCTCATGGTCATCGCTCCTCCATGACAGCCGCAGCATCTCCTCAGGATACGGCCTGGTCTAGGATTATGGAGACCTTGGCATCATTTCTTCACAGGTCTTTGATTGCATTAGTGGCTCTGCACAATATCTAGAGGTCTTGGGATGAGTATCCCCAAGTGGAAATATAAAGATGACAATTCGTCATTAATCAGTCATCACTGCTGTTTATAGTGTATTTAAACACGAAATGCAAAAATTAAGTACCATAAATGAAAATAGTAGTTATATAAACAGACATAGAAGCAAACATATACAGCATTTGAGTGTGTCTAACAAAATGTCAGGTGCATTAAGACAGGAGGAGTGTGGTGGTTTGTTAAACCCACTCACCTGCGTGGATCATACTGTTATGTGATGCACTGAGTGTATGCTTTACTCAAAAGATAGGTGTTTAATCTAGTTTGAACTGCAAGAGTGTATCTGAGCCTCAGACATTATCAGGAAGGCTATTCCAGAGTTTAGGAGCCATAAATGAGAAGGCTCGACCTCCTTTAGTAGACCTATGCCTCGCGACTGACAGCCAGACCAGGTTCTCCCCATTCTCAAGCACCCTGATCACTGTCACCTGAGTACTAATCAGCACCTCACCTGCAACTCATTCCCATTCATCACTCCAGCACCATAAATACCCTCACCTGCCCTCACTCACTGACCGGCCTCGTTGCTAATACGGTGGACCACACTCTCCTCACAGTCGGTATTATTTAGGCTATTTCCAAGTTTACGTACCTCTATCGTTCCCTGTGATCTCCTGTGTCTGCATCTCTTGTTCCTAGTCCGGTTTCTCCTGTTCCCTCCCCTGGTTGTCGTCGATCCCCATGTCCGTATATCTGTGTTCCTGGCTTCTCAGCATTATCCTCCGGTCACCCTGATCCATCTGGTCATCCATCTTCTTCCTGCACTTCAGCTACATTGAGTTCTGTTTAAACTTGTCATGTTATACTTACATCTCTGGTGCCAGTCCCTTCTTGTGACAGTGACATTCATGTTTATGACAGGTTTATGACAAGTTATGTTGTCTTAGTAATGTTGAGTTATGATAAAAGATGATGTATTTGTTTATATCAAGTTGTCATAACAAATATTGTCATATGTGCATTTAAAATGGCACAACTAAGCAAATGACACTTAATAACAGTTGTCATAAGCATCTATAAAAATGTCATGTCATGATTATAAAGGTTTGATGACTTATGATGTCTTATGAACCCCCCTTCAAGTAACATGTTACCGACAGAATCTTATGGCTGCCAAATACAATTTTTAAATAATTACTTCACGTATATAAACCTATTTTATAACTTTCTTTGAGGAAGAATGAGCAATGATAAAGTCAGTAACTTTAGATTTTAACCTTTTGAAATCTGGTTTGGTGTTTCTGGTGTGGAAAACACATTTGTTTGTACTACAGAGGACACTAGATGCTGAAAGATGTTAAGATGGAACTGTGAATATTGTAAATGTTGCAGGTTTGGCTGTTTAGAAGTGTTAACAAGAGCCTATAGGCTGGATTTTTTATTCTGTGCCTTTTTTATGTTCTTTTTGTCTTTTAAGAGTTGAGGAGAGACACCTCATGTTCTCCAGGCCACTGTCAGAAGATTACGTTACTGTTACAGAGTCCAGCGGTCAAATTCATCACTCACCCAGAGTTCTTCACTGTTCTCCACGCTAATTATGTGAGTTTCACCACACTGAATATTATATGTTATGAAAGTGTTAGTTCACATAGAAATTATAATTCTGTGATTAATTACGCTCTCTCATGTTGTTTCAATCCCCCAAGACCTTTGTTCATCTTCGAAACACAAGTTAATTTAGATAAAATCCTGGTGCTCTCTCGTCCTCCATAGACAGCAATGTTGAGATGAGAGAGCTCTTGGAATTCTTCTAAAATATCTTCATTTGTGTTGTGAAGAAGAATGAAGGTCTCAGGGGATTGGGACAACATGAGAGTGAGTAGTTATTAACAGAATCTTCATTTCTGTGTGAACTAATCCTTTCATTTCTTTCATAGACTGGTTACCTACAAGTACACATTGAAGCTTACTGTTCAACAAAGAATCCTGCTAAAATAAATCATGGTTTCCATAAAAATATTCTTTAAAATCTAAGAAAAACATATTTTAGCAACAAATAAGCGGATCAAAATGATTCGCTACCCTAGTTTTATTAGTAGTTGTATTTGTTTGTTTGTATTTTATTTTATTTCATTTTAATTTGTAACTTAACATAATGTTTTAATTTGATGTGTTCAGTTATTTTTTAAAGTCTCTATTAATTTGTGACCACATATGAAGTCTTATGGTACACAGATATACTTGTAGGCAGAAGCCTGAAACACTTTATATACTGTAGGTCAAAGTTATTGATTTTTAATTTATTCCAAAAAGAATTTGAATATTAAATATAATGTTTCATGAAGACAATTTGTAAATTTCCTACTGCAAATATATTAACATTTAATTTTTGATTAATAATATGTATTGCTAAGCACTTCATTTAGACTGACACATTTCAAAATGATTATTTTTTCTATCTCAGATTGCAGATTTTCAAATAGTTGTATCTTGGTTAGTTGTATGTAGTTTCCCATCCTAACAAACCATACATCAATGGAAAGCTTATTTACTTGTGCTTTCATATGATGGTTACATCTCAGTTTACAAAAAAACGAACCCTTTTAGTTTAAGTTGTTATTTTATTTAGTATTTAATGTTATTTAGTTGTTTTTTTTTTTAAATATTCTTTTTTCCCCCCAGGGTGCATATCGAATGTTCACCAACAGCTCGTGTCTGAAACACATGGTCCTGAAAATTCGACGAGATGCTCGAAATTTTGAGCGCTACCAGCACAATCGTGACCTGGTGACGTTTCTGAACAGGTTTGCAGACGCTCAGCTGGAGCTGCCGCGCGGCTGGGAGATCAAAACTGACCCGCAGGGGAAGGTAGACTACAGGACACACTTCATTACGGGAGCTCCTATCAGTTCAACCATTATTTCACGTCCACTTTCCTTTGCAGTCATTTTTTGTAGACCACAACAGTCGTGCCACAACCTTCATCGATCCCAGAATCCCCTTGCAAAACGGCAGATTACCAAACCACCTGACGCACCGCCAGCACCTGCAGAGATTACGCAGCTACAGCGCAGGAGAGGTCAGACATACTTGTGCTGTATCCAAAATCACCCTCATTCACTATTCCCTACTTAGTCCACTTATATAGTCCACTTAAAGAACTCAACGAATGACTTTGAGCACTCAATGCGCCAAAATCAATGACCGTTTTTTTGTGCTTTGAAAAAATGAACTAAATATTACACATAAATAATTTACTTTATATTAAAAATAAACAAAATGTAGTTTTTTTCAGTCTAATGTAAATAAAACATCTGAACTACACTTTAAAATGTTTCTTTTATCACACTTAGATTCCAATCATAATCTTAAATGCTGTTTTCTCAGAATTAATATATTCTCTGCAATGCATAGTACATATCCTCCAAAAGGTGCTCTCTCTCACGGAAACTCCAAACACCCATGATGAAAAAATTCAGGAAATCCCATAGTGTTGCATTATAAATAAAATGCTTTATCCAAAATTGACCACCATATCCTCATTCGCGATTCCTTACTTGGACCACTAATATCAACACAGGCTCATTGTGAAATTGCACCCTGTATACATTTCTGGAAAACATGAATTATGTAGCCAGAGGTACATATGGCTCCATTTCGTCTTTAATACGAATGCTGCGGTGTGTTGTTATGCACCGTCTAGGGATGGTGCACAACATGAAAGACAAGACAACAAAAATGAAGTCAAAGATTTATTGGGGTTTGAATTCTGGAGCTGACAAGGCCAAAAAAACAAACAAAAATTCCTTCATGTTAAATCTCTAACTTACCTGATCAAAAATAAAAGAAAGTACAATTCACTACCCTAACTATCTAACACAAAAACAGAGGTTTTACAAAGAAAATGGCGTCAAACTCCTTACTATCCCAATATATATACACTATTTACAAACTATTTACAAAAACAGGCAACCATATTTGAAGGACAATCCAAAATCAATGTCAGCAGGCAACAAAGGTCAAACAAGCCAGCGGAACAAAGTATCATAAACAAAGCAAACACTAAAACAAATAGTACTCACAAATCTCAATATTCCCAGTCTTAACACATCCAAAAACTCTGCACTATACCACATACAAACGTTTCAACAAACACAAAGCAAGTGACCAAAAACAAGATGGCTGCCAAGGAAGTAGTGTCATGGCTTTTTAAAACACTGTAGGCCAATCAGGCGCAACAAGCAAGCTGGAAGTGGCCAATTAGATGTGTTCTAAGCAAAACAAACAAAAAAAAAAAAAAAAAATAGATGAGACAAGACAAACAGGATTGTAACAGTGGTATGACGCCGCTCACAGCTTCGTTTCTTTTCGCGTTACTAGCTGACTGCTTACCTTTTGTATGAATGGCTTTTCCGCTGTTAACAGTTAGCTATGTTGCTTGCTGCGTACGTTGGCAAACTTGAGACGTAGAACGAAGTTTACCATGATGATTGGGTTCAAGTCCAGCGAAGAACAATTCCAGAAAGCAGGTAAAACAAAAGGCAAATAATAAAATAAACAAGTATTAACAGGGTGAGAATGTGGTAAAATCTGAAAACGTGGTAAAAATCAGGCGGCCGCTTGGGCTTTTTTTTCTGGTCTGCTTTTGAAAATACTATGGGTTGGGTTAGGGAAGAAGGGGGGGGGGTCAGTCAGTCGATGAGTCAGTCAGTCAGTCGACAGCGGCCTCTTGTGGATTCACGTGAGAAGAGCAGGTGTGAATGGCACTCACAAGAGAAATTTGAGATCTCAAAAAAGGTGCACAGCGGCCTCTGATGGATTCGCGAAAAAATAAAATGCAAAAAAACGGAGCCCCTGGGATGTGTTACACACTGTCCTGACATGTATGCAGGGGTACGAATCAATAATGTGCCTGGGTTGACTAATATAGTCCACTTAAAGGAGTGAATGAAAACAAGTGAGAATGAAATTCAAGCAACACATAAACAGCACATAAATGTCAGTTGCAATTATATCAATGTTGGTGTATTTATTTGTGTTCAGGCATCTGAGGTGTCGCGCACCCGAGGGGTGTCTTTGTTAGCCAGGCCTGGAAACAGCCTGGTAGCAGCCATACGAAACCAAAGCCAGCAGGAGCCTGTGCCATTAGGTATAAACCACATTTAATCAACAGTTCACTGGTATGACTGCACTTAGAGCTGGGCAATAGAGCTAACATGTTTATGCTGTGCATTTGTTCAGAAATTGTTTTATTCAGGAAGTTTTTTAAGGAAAAAGTGGATAAAACACAATATGCTGTATATATTACTATTAAATGATTTTAAAGTTTTTTTATGTTTTGGAACAATACAACATATTTTGATGAATATTTTATGCTTGGAAATTTGTCAAAAATGGTAAATATTGCTGTAAAAAAGTGTTTTGGAATGATTTAGCATATTTGATTAATATATTTTTTGCTCGTCAATTTGACTAAAAATATAAATATTGATATAAAAAGTGTTTTGGATCAATATAACATATTTTGATTAAACGTGTTATGCTCATCAATTTGACCAATAATTGTAAATATTGATATAAAAATAGTTTTGGATTAATAGAACATTATAAATTAATATTTTATGCTTGTAAATTTGGCAAAAACAGTAAATATTAATATAAAAAAGTGCTTTGGAGCAATACTACATATTTTGCTTAATATTTTTATGCTTATCAATATGACAAAAAATAGTAAATATTGATATAAAAAGTGTTTGGGAACAATATTACATATTTTGCTTAATATTTTTATGCTCATCAATTTGACAAAAATAGTAAATATTGATATTAAAAAGTGTTTTGGAGCAATATTACTTATTTTGCTTAATATTTTATGCTTATCAATATGACAAAAACTAGTATAATGATTGAAATATTGATATAAAAAGTGTTTTGGAACAATATTACATATTTTAATTTAATACTATTATGCTTATCATAATGACAACAATAGTAAATATTGATATAAAAAGTGTTTTGGAACAATATTACATATTTTGCTTAATATTTTTATGCTTATCATTATGACAAAAATAGTAAATATTGATATAAAAAACATTTTTGATTATTATGAAATAATTAATTTTAAGATATATATTTTTCCAAAACTCTTTATTTTTTATATCAGTATTTACTATTTTTGGTCAAATTGATAAGCATAAAAAACTTTTAAAACATTTAATAGTAGTATATACAGTATCTAATATTCACTTTTTAACAATGCTTAATTTGCTCTTTTAAAGGTTTAATTCAAATATTTCATGTATAATACAGTAAAAAAATACTTGTTAATAATCTGTGTTTTCAATAAATCTTGGAATGCAATATTTCATTGATTATTTAACATAAAAGTACTAATACATGAATGCAAGGTTACAGATATCAATATTTACCAAACATCATTTTATTAAAACATTTAGTCACTTTAGTGATAAATAATTGACAGAAACATTGTTTAAAACAGGACTTTGCTGATCTATTGTTGTTTTGAAGATTAAACAGACTTTATACAAAAATCTAAAGTCATGAGACAGCTGAAAAGTGTTGAATTATTCTTTAGGATTACAATTGAAATGTTGTTGTCATTTTTTGATTAATTGTTAAAAAAACATAATATTCATGCTGTTGTCAATTTCCTGAATAACCATCAAAAGAAGCTCATGGATTTCAGATGATTGTTGATTTAATATGAGTGTTTTCTTCGTTCCAGCGTACAATGATAAAATTGTAGCATTTTTACGGCAACCAAACATCTTCGAGGTGCTACAGGAGCGTCAGCCCAGCTTTGCCAGGAATCACTCACTCAAGTATGACCATACGAATTCATCTGTTACGATTATCAAATACATCATTGGCACCTTCAAACAAGTCTGAGATTTTTCGGCACTGTTTATTTCTTAAGGGATAAAGTGCATCACATCCGAACCGAAGGCACACAGAGACTGGAGAAGCTGTCATGTGATGCTGACCTGGTCATGCTGTTAAGGTAAAACATCCAGATTTACTCGAAAAACAAACCACACTGTATTAAAATTGCATTGGTGAGAAGGGGAAAAGTATATTCTATTGATCGTTTTCACATGTCGTCACACCATTGGGGGAATACTCCTCCCTGGCGGGCAAAACATTACTATTTCAAGTTGACTGCCAAGTCACAGGCTGAGTAATTTATCTTTTTTTTGCCCAAAAAATTGATAATTGTTGTCCAATAAGATATAGCATTACTATCCGACAAGGAGACACAACTGAGCTGTGCTTTGGCAGACTTCCTTCAGAAAAAGAACAACCAGAAAGGAGAAATTTATGGATTTGTACTGCATGTTAGCATCACTGACCTATAACAATCTATGCTACCTATAACTGTCAGTGCATTTATGTGTGCTTTTTATACAGTTTCTATACCTTATTTGCAGGTCAAATGCAATTAAAGTAGTGGTGGGCCGTTATTGGCGTTAACGCGAGACTTTTATCGCGCGATAAAAAAAAAATATCGATGTTAATCTATTCTCAAAGTTGGGTTGGGAGCTGAGTCTATTCTATCAAGCTATGATGACTTTCACTTTGATATTTTAGCGCAGATGTATACCTGCCCGGTGAGCCGTATGACTAAAAAAGTGCCCAAGTCAGCAGCATGCCCTTCTGGATCGTTCACTTTGTTCTAACACACTACTGACTACGCTTACATGTACATCTGTAATCTAGTTATTTGTCTTAATAGACAATAATTTAATTAAGGTGTTTACGTGAAGTGCTTTCATGTTAGAGTTTCCTGTAATTTTGGGTGACTTTAACTGAAGTTTCACTTTAACTCATGAACATTTCATTCATGCCCCCGTGACAAACTGGGGTATTAGACGCAAATAAGGAGTAAGGACTGGTGAGAGTGTTATGAAATTTATTAACGCACGCTAAATGGAAAGAAAAAACTTCCACATTTCGCAATGTTTATGTGTGTGCGTGTGCAGTTCTTTACTGACAGCTGCGTGTGTGGATCTTGTGGGAAAATATGGTAAAAAGTCCTACATGACGGTAATAGTTTGACTGCGGTGTTTACTTCAATAATGCCACTAATATCTGCATACTCCACATGTCTTAATTTCATTTCTATTTTTAGTTCAGTTATGACTTTAGTCGGATTAAGGTGATCAAAAATTGCTGTTTGGAGCTTATGTAGGCCAACAGTTCAAAATTCATGTTTTAATTCAATCATTAACTGAAAAGGCAGTTAGTAAACACAAGTACATCTTATTGAACATCATTTATTTTCATCCCCAATTATCATAGTAGAACAGTTTCTCAAGCAGTTTGTGATGCATTTTGAAAACAGGAGATGAACCCCTGGTCTAATGCGCCACCTGGCTTGGGAAACCCGTTCTTAAAGACTTACTTTTAGTCATTATTCGGCTAGCACACATATTCTGAATTCATATTCTATTCGGCAGAATTCAAATGAGCCATTTTAATCTAGATTAATTCCAAGATTACAGTGAGATTAATCTAGATTTAAAAATTAATTTATGCCCACCTATAAACTAAAGTTTAAATTAAAATGCAAAATTTAAAAGTATAAATAGCAGAAATTAACTAATAGATAATATTAATAGCAAATATTAGTAAATAAAACCGACACTACACTTATGTGCTATAACGGCATCACTAATGATTAAACTGCTGAGGGATATCTAATGGCTGCTGGTGCAGTATATGGATCGCAAGTGCTCACAATTTACATTGTTCTGTTGATTTGTGATCCAAATCCATATCTTGAAACAGATGGAAATATGACCGGTTTGTGCTGCATTTCTATGGAAATCCCAGTGTAGCTGCCATTTTGGCTCATTGTTTGTTTTTTTCGCCGCCAGGTATTTGCACAGGTCATGTGACTAAAAACAATTAGTTACATGTTTTTTTTTCCCTGAATGTGTTTTGATTTGTTTTTCAGTTTGTTTGAGGAGGACATCATGTCTTACGTTCCTCTCGCATCATTTCACCCCGGGTTCAACTTTTCACCTCGCTGCTCTCCTGGTTCTTCTCCCCAGAACTCTCCAGGTGAGTCGACCAAGAGCTTTAATCGGACACTCTTTTATTTATGTTTTATTCAAGACAACGTTATGTGATAATTTCAAGTTCATGTCTTATTTGCATGTGGTGTAAACATTCTAAATCAAAGTCACCAGCATGCAGAACGTAATGGGAACTGGTGTGTATGTAATATTTATGATCTACAATGTGTGAGCTTACAATATCAATTATATCAGTCTTTGCAAAATAACAAACAAATAAAAAGATGTCTTGAGAGTCTGAAGGCACTGTGTGAGCACGTCTTTTTGAATGCAGTGAAAACAACCTTATAATTACCGTTAAAAAAATCCGTCTGACTTTTTTGTTAAAATGGTGTAACATAGTAAAGTAATTTCACACGAGGAAGAGTGCTGTTTACACAAATGTGATATTCATTTAAGTGCAAAAGTTCTACAAACTGTTTTTTTGTTCAATGAATATAAACACTTGAGCAGAACATTGGTGCGTCTCTGCACAACACTGCAGTGTTTTGTTGATTATCTTGTCAGGCCCTGTCCACACAAACATGGGTATTTTCAAAAGCCTACTTTTCTTCTATGTGGTTTCGCAGTTTGTCCATACAAAAGCCGAGTATCAGGTGACTGAAACTTTCTGAAAACTCCAGCCAAGGTGAAAACTTTCAGAAACTCTGGGTGCAGTTCTTGTCTCATGATGTCAGTGTGCATGCTGCTTTCTCCTTTCTGATTGGCCAAAATCCCTGCATTCACACCACTGCTTAATTTGTGAATTGCGAGGTTCCGGAACAGATCAGGGTAATGCATCCGGCATGTTACCCGAGGATGGAGAGGTGTTTTGGGGTTGTCGTTGGATGGTAGAGAAGTGTCGCGGGTGAAAGGGAAGAACGAGGGGTTGTCGCAGACGAAAGTGAAGAGGGTTTGGGAGTCGCGGAAGAAAGTGAAAGTGAACAGCAAACTGCAGTAAAATGAGGTGCTGGATGAGATTTCAGAGATGCCGGACTTGGATCTGGCGTGTTTCGGCACAAATTAAGCCATGGTTCACACCAAACTCGTAAGACATGAATTAGGCAAATACAAAACATTCACAGCAAACACATTGCGTATTCTGTCACACAGCAGGACAGTAATCCAGCTCTGTTCTCATGTTTGCATTGATGAAAATACTTCATACCCCGTTTGAAATGAACCCAGCAAAAAAAGGCTTTTATTGCCGCCTGTTGGTTCAGCTCTTATGTGTTTTCATGTGAATGGAAATAAATTTAAAAAGTGGGGAAAACTATTAATCCATTTGTAAAAATACCTGTGTATGTGTGGACAGAGCCTTAGAAAGAGGAACTGATTTTGTTTTTGAATGAATCGGCCATTTTGAACGAATCATTTGAATGAAGAATCACTCATTTAGACTGGGAGATACTGCCATCTACTGGTGGTTTTGATGTTATACTTTGTTAATCAATGAAAGCCCTAAAGCAGCCAAGATTCCAGCACAAAATCACATTGGATCTTGTAGATTTGAGTCTAGATTAGCAAATGTTGATGCTATAAATGCAAAGTAAACTAATATAAAGTAATGTCTAATTATTTAATCGTGGAAGATTGTCTTGGAATTTTACAACTAGCTTGTAAGTCCAAAAGCAAGTCCACTGTTAGCCATTTCCTGTAGAATCTACAGCACAAGTGTCAAAGCCAGTTCCTGGAGGGCCGCAGCTCTGCACAGTTTAGTATCAACCCTAATTAAACACACCTGATTGAACTAATTGAGTCCTTCAGGCTTGTTTGATACCTACAGATAGGTGTGTTGAAGCAGGGTTGGAACTAAACTCTGCAGGGCTCCAACCCTCCAGGAATTGACTTTGACACCCCTGATCTACAGTAACTTACTGTACATCAATTACAGCAAAAACACTGTATTTACATTTACAGCACCATTTATCTTGCTGTATATTCATTTACAGTAATGTATGTGTGTCTTTACTGTAATGGTACAGTAAGTTTCACAATGTGACTTTAAAATAAAGTAACACCGCATAACTGTCCTCCAGTAAAATACAGTTCATATTACAGTTAAATACTGTGTAATTAACAGTTAACAATGTAAAAACCTTCTGGATGTGCATTATACTTAAACTGGTCTCAGTGCTTTATTTACGTAAAGAACCTGACATAAAGCAAGGTTCAGTGATGGTTCATTCACACACACTCTGATCTGCTCTAAAGGCTTTCTGGAGCGAACTCCTCTCGTTCCAGCCTGCTGTCTGTCTGGTGAGAGCTCTCCAGGTCAGCCGCTCTCAAACCTCAAAAACTGTCCCACCCAGCTGCCCCTTTCTGTGTCATGACAGACATTTACACACCCCGAGCCTGTTGTGTGTGTGTGTGAACATTCAAACCTCCGCCTAAAGCGTTTCCTTACACGTCCATGAAGTGTATCCTCTCATGTTGTAAAACCAATGTGCATGTTTGGACACAATCAAAAACGAAACCTAAATTGATGAAAGACAGAACTGCATTATCAAAGATCCCTATTGTTTTATACAATGAGAAGAATGATCATCTCTCCATTCACGTGTTTGTTCTGAAGGAGAACAAACTTCACTTCCCTTTGGAGTGCTCTTATGGTCAGCTGATCCTCAACAGTCATTCCCTGATGATTGGTGTTTGCAGTATGCTGGACTTCACACGTGTTGATGATTTATGGTTATTTCTCTTCTCTTCAGGGACCCAGAGGGCTCGGGCTCCAGCGCCGTACAGAAGAGACTTTGAGGCCAAATTGCGCAACTTCTACAGGAAGCTTGAGGCAAAGGGCTACGGGCAAGGGCCTGGGAAGATAAAGTATGTTAACACTGACTTATACTTGCAAAATAGAAATCCAAACAATTAATTAATGATTAATTGAAGGCACAATCATCAATTAAAGGATTTTTTTTTTATTAAAATATCTAAAAACCACTAGAACAGTAGTATACATTTTGCTAACATGTGTACTTTAAATGTTTCTAAGAATGTTAAATTCCAGAGGAATAAGCTATTTTAATTCAAGAGTTCACACTTAGCTGATGATTAATTGTAAAAGCTTGCTTGACATGCTGTCCCGGGAGAGAGCCCTGAGCTCATGACATCCTCGAGCCCAGGGCTCCCTCCCGTTGCAAGGCGGGAGGGAGTTTGAGCTCAGGTAGATCTAGAGAACTCCCCTGCTGTAGCAAGTGAATGCTCTTGAAATTAACTACGTACTAGAAACGTGTCTATGTTGCCAATTTGGATTGTTCAATTGACTTAAGTTTTTAGGTGGTGGGAGGAAACCGGGGAACCCGGGGGAAACCCACGTGAGCACAGGGAGAAGTGCAAACTCTACACAGAAATGTCTGCTAGTTTGGTAAAGCCAGGAACCAGAGACATTCTTGCTGTGAGGCGACAGTGCTACGCACTGGGCCACCGTGTCACCCGTCTAAGAAGGAGGAGTAGGGGAGGAAGGGGGGACTCTTCAAAACGAAAATAGCAGTGGAATGAACCCCAGGGTATTTATAGTAGTTTAGGAGTCATCTGATTGGAGCGTAGTTAATTAGATAATGCGGATCCAGCCGCTAGCAATCATAAGCACGTGATCCTCTCGAAATTTGTTTATACATAAACTTCACTTAGTGAGACGGAGTGTGTGCTGTGTGTTCATGCTAACGACGCCACACACCTTCCATTTATGGTTTGATTTTATAAAGGAGAAGAATCACACATTTAGACTGGGAGATACTGCCATCTACTGGTGGTTTTGATGTTATATTTTGAGAGCCCTAAAGCAGCCAAGATTCCAGCACAAAATCACATTGGATCTTGTAGATTTGAGTCTAGATTAGCAAATGTTGATGCTATAAATGCAAAGTAAACTAATATAAAGTAATGTCTAATTATTTAATCGTGGAAGATTGTCTTGGAATATTTTACATCCAGCTTGTTGTTTGATAGCAAAATAAACCCCTTCAGGGTGAAGCAAGTCCAATGTTAGCCATTTCCTGTAGAATCTACAGCACAAGTGTCAAAGCCAGTTCCTGGAGGAACAGTAGTAGACATTTTGCTAACATGTGTACTTTAAATGTTTCTAAGAATGTTAAATTCCAGAGGAATAAGCTATTTTAATTAGTGAGACGGAGTGTGTGCTGTGTGTTCATGCTAACGACGCCACACACCCTCCATTTATGGTTTGTTTTTATAAAGAAGAGGGAAACACTTTAATATGTTGTGTGTGTTAATAGACTGCACAGAGCAGCATTATGACAGAAGCCTAAAATGTATTCAGTCTGATAAACAGTGTTATTTTTATCCACATGATCATGAGCAGAAGAATAGGAAGAGAGAACTTTGGCACAATAAAAGCTCTGCTGCTTTCCTGTCACTCGTCTCTCATCAGCAATTGCTTCAGCGTTTCTCTCGTTTTACTTCTGCTTTCAGCTTTACTCTTCTTCATACTAGTATTAAGTGTAAAGGTAGTAACCCACATAGCAGAATATCGCTGGCCCACACAATCAGCTTTTGCTTGGGCCACATGCTGCAGTGAATAACAGTACATGACTGGACCAAGTCTGGCTTCCAGGCAAGGGCCAAACATGGACCATATCTGGGCCAAGTCTTAGCCAAGTTAATAAGCAATAACTGAGCATGAACTGGGCCAGAAATGTCGGTGTGTCACAACTGCAATTGAAGTTGATAAACCAATGAATCATTGTGCTTTAGGCACACTATAGGCGTGATTTGTCTTGAAGTGACCTGATTGGAAGAATTGATTTATTTTTATTTGAAAATAATAACAAGGTTTTAACAAGGTTTTTAAAGTTTGGATCAAGATGGGCCAAACTTAAATGGGCCAAATATCAATTATTAACATCTGGGCAAAATACTACAATTTATATCTGGCCCAGTTATTGTGTGCCACCTTAAAGACTGTCACCTCTGCCAAATCAGGGCCATGTTTGGTCCACATGCTGTTTGCCTCCACACTCAGTCACACCATCATCAAATTACACCTTTGTTTGTTGTGAATACTCACCCTCTAGTGGCGAAAATTAAACCCTGTGCATTTAATTGACAATAATGCAAAGAAGCACAAACAGGAATGTGTTGCTGCTCAATGAATATTTATTGTTATTGTCAATGTTGAAAACTATGTTGCTTGATTGTATTTAATTTATTTTTTTTTTCAGATTGATCGTCAGAAGAGATCATCTTTTAGAAGGAACGTTTAACCAGGTCATGGCCTACTCACGTAAAGAGCTGCAGAGAAACAAGCTGTACATTACCTTTGTGGGAGAGGAAGGGTGAGATAGACCACACAATGCTCAAATATAAACCAGCCATAGGAGAAGATTGCATTATTCGAAGAAAAAAACTCTGATGTCTTGTTGATGATGTATATTAAAGGCATAGTTTACCCAAAACTGAAACTGTTTTGTTAGTTTACTCATCCTCAGGTTATCTAATATGTAGCTGACTTTTTTCATCTGTGGAACATTAAAAAAAGATGATTTTGAGCTGAACTCCTCATCCTTGGGGATTCATAAAATTGCAGGGAATGTTTTTTTTTTTTTCAATTAAAAATAAACACACACAAATGTGTCCAAATCAATGGCCCAGGGTAGGGCCAGACAGAATCTGCAGACATTATTTGCTATTTCTGCTGAGATCTTTGTAAAATCTTTGAAGATTTATGCGGAATAATTTCAGGAGTATCACAACTACAAACTTAGGTCCAATCCCAGTTCTGTCCCTTAGTCCTTACCCCTACCCCTCATTTTGTGCATTCACAGGAAGGGGTAGGTGTGTCCCAGTTCTCTTTAGCTTGAAGGCGTAGGGCTAAGAGGAAGGACTAGATACCCCTTGAAACAGAGATTTTTAAGGACCACACTTGAAACTAACGGGTAAGAAAATTTCTCAGAATACACCAGCCACAACGACAGCATGGCTGCACACGGAAGTAATGAGATCCACAAATTTGTATTTTTTGTCATTATTACGAAATTTTACAACAAACAAGCACATGTTTTAATACACTCAAAACTGCGTTCGTGTTTTACCATCATGCTTTTAAAAAAATGATAAAATAAAAAACGCAAAATTTGCTATCTATAAATCATAATAAAAACTCCTGTATAGCAGTCCCACAACATTCTCACACTAAAATACCCTGTCAGAAATGTCTAGTGCAGGGCTATTCAATTGGCGGCTTGCGGGCCAAATCCGGCCCCCGAGGCACTGTGTTCCAGCCCTCCAAAAACTGTGACCAAGACATCAAAAATAAATTTAGTTCAGTCGACAAGCGGCCACTATAATTATGAAGTTACATGTGTCTGTTCAATAACAACACAAGCTGCAGTTAAAGGCTGCACAGAGTGTGAGTCATCATCAGCGAGTGGTGCGGGCAGCCCAAAACATGTTTGTAGTAAAGGTTTTTGTACAATGCACTAATATCGTTAATAGGAATGCAACGATTAACCGATTTCACTATTAACTGCGCTTTAATTTGTGACAGTTTATTAATCATAAAGTCTTCTCTAAGCCGCATTTCTGTTGCACGGAACGAAACGAAACCGCTGCAAAATGCCAAGTTGCCTGTGCGCTAGTTTGAAGTTTGAAGTACACCGAGGCTAATACGCACGCACACAGGATTAACTACAGCAGCGGCTGTTCCCATATCACAGCTTTTCCGCTTGCAGGTTTGTTATTTCTAATGGAAGAATATATGACAATATGTGGGCGCCAGCGGAGCGACGCACTTGCGTCTTTCTGGGTGCACGCAGTAGAAAACATCCCACGGTGAGAGTTGTGCGTGCCTTTCAGTGCAATGTAAACAAAAGATATGTTAGACAAATTATTATTAAAATGATTATGTATGCATGAATGCAGATGGCAACAACAGTTAATCTAAATAGCTACTTACCTAATATAAAGCTTGAATTTACATTAGACGTGATAACAGTGAAAGCATGATTATTCTTCAGACTATATAATCGTACAACCAAAATCTATAATTGTTGCCTGCCTAATTGTTATGCAGTTCAAAACACTTCAGCAATGCACTGCTTTTGCTGTGCTCTGAAATACAAAAAAAAAAAAAAAAAAAAACGTCTATTGCACAGTGCACTCATATTATGTAGTTTCAAAATACAATCTATTAATATTTTAATGTAGAAAAAGCCAACATGGGTGTCTTAAGGAGCAAAAATATACAGCATATGGGCTGTTATATGCTGTTGTGTCATCACTCATATTGCAAGTTATATCTCTCCGGCCCTTCGTTTGGGATCCTTTTTCATGAACGGGCCCCCATGACAAACTAATTGAATAGCCCTGGTCTAGTGGCTGAGAATTATCTTTTTACAGTGTCTGCTATAATGTTAATGTTGTTTTTGGTGTGTTTACGGAGATGAATATGGCCACTGTGTAAATGCACAGTACAGTTATGAGCTTATTGCCACATTATACCGTTATGTTAACTTAATATATGCCTTCAGTGATTTCCTGAAGATAAACACTAAAAAATAACAGAACTGGAATAACTCCAGCAGTCACAATCTCATATAAAGCATGAGATCGCGATGACATATGATGACGTGTGCAGGTGTTGTAGTGCTGTCCGTATTCTTAGAGGTGAATTTTGAAGCCCTTCCCCTTTATATACTGTTTCAAGGGCCAAGGGGTGCAAAAATAGAATTGGGATTGGGCCTAATATATGAATTTTTTTTTTTTTGTTTCATTTAATGTTTACAATGTAAATCTAATAATATCCACTTATTTGGTAAACAAAGCAAGTCTGTCATATGATATATCTGCTAAAATACAGAAAGTATTATTTACAATCTGTATTGTAAATAAATCATATGAACATTTTATTATTACTATTATCATATCACAATAATAATAGTGAAATTAATTTAAAAACTGAATAAATATAAATTTACACACATTTACACAAGTTAATTCATAGACTCGATGATGGGCTAAAAATCTGCGGAATTCTGCGCATGCAGATTCTGTGTGGGCCTAGCTGTGAATCCTGACGACACACTGAGACACATCTAATTCACATCTAATGAGAAACATCTAATTCACATCTAATGAGACACATCTAATTCACATCTAATTCACATCTAATGAGACACATCTAATTCACATCTAATTCACATCTAATGAGACACATCTAATTCACATCTAATGAGACACATCTAATTCACATCTAATTCACATCTAATGAGACACATCTAATTCACATCTAATGAGACACATCTAATTCACATCTAATGAGACACATCTAATTCACATCTAATTCACATCTAATGAGACACATCTAATTCACATCTAATGAGACACATCTAATTCACATCTAATGAGACACATCTAATTCACATCTAATGAGACACATCTAATTCACATCTAATTCACATCTAATGAGACACATCTAATTCACATCTAATGAGACACATCTAATTCACATCTAATGAGACACATCTAATGAGACACATCTAATTCACATCTAATTCACATCTAATGAGACACATCTAATTCACATCTAATGAGACACATCTAATTCACATCAAATGAGACACATCTAATTCACATCTAATAATACACATCTAATTCACATCTAATTCACATCTAATGAGACACATCTAATTCACATCTAATGAGACACATCTAATTCACATCTAATGAGACACATCTAATTCACATCTAATTCACATCTAATGAGACACATCTAATTCACATCTAATGAGACACATCTAATTCACATCTAATGAGACACATCTAATTCACATCTAATGAGACACATCTAATTCACATCTAATAAGACACATCTAATTCACATCTAATGAGAAACATCTAATTCACATCTAATGAGACACATCTAATTCACATCTAATTCACATCTAATGAGACACCTCTAATTCACATCTAATGAGACACATCTAATTCACATCTAATGAGACACATCTAATTCACATCTAATGCAACACATCTAATTCACTTCTAATGAGACACATCTAATTCACATCTAATTCACATCTAATGAGACACATCTAATTCACATCTAATGAGACACATCTAATTCACATCTAATGAGACACATCTAATTCACATCTAATGAGACACATCTAATTCACATCTAATGAGACACATCTAATTCACATCTAATGAGACACATCTAATTCACATCTAATGAGACACATCTAATTCACATCTAATGAGACACATCTAATTCACATCTAATGAGACACATCTAATTCACATCTAATAAGACACATCTAATTCACATCTAATGAGACACATCTAATTCACATCTAATGAGACACATCTAATTCACATCTAATTCACATCTAATGAGACACATCTAATTCACATCTAATGAGACACATCTAATTCACATCTAATGAGACACATCTAATTCACATCTAATTCACATCTAATGAGACACATCTAATTCACGTCTAATGAGACACATCTAATTCACATCTAATGAGACACATCTAATTCACATCTAATGAGACACATCTAATTCACATCTAATTCACATCTAATGAGACACATCTAATTCACATCTAATGAGACACATCTAATTCACATCTAATGAGACACATCTAATTCACATCTAATGAGACACATCTAATTCACATCTAATGAGACACATCTAATTCACATCTAATGAGACACATCTAATTCACTGTCAAACAGTTAAAATCATTTTAGTTTCATTCTTTACATCTTGGATGACCTGTGTTTTTTTTTATTTTACAAGTATCGAAAGTAAATAAAGAGCACTTAAAAATGATTGATTAGTAGCTACACATTTGAGTAAATTGCTGATGTTTTTTTTTCTAAATTAAAAATAAAAGTTAAGTCTTTCAGAGATGTATTTGAATAAAACAAAACATGGCATGTTTACAGAAATAAGTTTATTCGGTTGTAGTCAACACAATACTAGTATTTGAACTTCAGAAGGGTTACAAAATCAATGTTTGGTGGAAAACCCTGATAAAATGAATGTCAACATTTTACTCATTTATGTCAGAATTATTAAGCCCCCCTTTGAATTTGTTTTCTTTTTAAAATATTTCCCAAATTATGTTTAACAGAGCAAAAAAATAAATAAAAAATGCTCACAGTATGTCTGATAATATTTTTTCTTCTGGAAAAATTCTTATTTGTTTAATTTCGGCTAGAATAAAAGCAGTTTTAATTTTTTTAAAGCCATTTATGGTCAATATTTTTAGCTCCTTTCAGCTTTTTTTACAACCATCAATATACAATAACTTGCCTAATTACCCTAACCTGCCTAGTTATCCTAATTAACCTAGTTAAGCCTTTAAATGTCACTTTAAGCTGTATAGAAGAGTCTTGAAAAATATCTAGTCAAATATTATTTACTGTCATCATAGCAAAGATTAAAGAAATAAGTTAATAGAAGTGAGTTATTAAAACTATTATGTTTAAAAATGGGTTGAAAAAATGATCTCTCTGTTAAACAGAAATTGGGGAAAAAATAAACAGGGGTAACAATTTAGGGGGGCTAACAATTCTGACTTCAACTGTATCTAATAAAAACAGCAATTGAAAAGAAGTAAAGCTTCTAGAGCTGGCACAGGCTTGCAGAAAATTAAAGTAATTTGGAAAATAAATTATGTAATTATCAATGTATTATTTCAGCTTCATGTTACATCTTGAATGATACGGAAATATTTGTATTAATTAGCTTGTTATCAAACTCATTCTCTCAGATGGCCTGGTTACCACCCATGCTAATGTACAGCTGAAGTCAAAATGATTAGCTCTACTGGGATTTTTTATTCTTTTTCAAATATTTCCCAAATGATGTTTAACAGAGCAAAGATTTTTTCACAGTATTTCCTATAATATTTTTTTCTTCTGGAGAAAGTCTTATTTGTTTTATTTCTGCTAGCAGTTTTTAATAAAAAAACATATTTGTTTTCGATTGTCTACAGAACAAACCATCGTTATACAATGACTTGCCTAATTAACCTACAGCAGTTACACCTTTAAATGTCACTTGAAGCTGAATACTAGTGTCTTGAAAATGTCATCATGGCAAAGATAAAATAAATCAGTTATTAGAAATGAGTTATCAAAACTATTAAGTTAAGAATTGTGTTGAAAAAAATCTGCTCTACGTTAAACAGAAATTGGGGGGAAAAATATAGAGGGGTGCTAATAATTCTGACTTCAACTGTATGCAATCTGTTACTAGCTTCAAATGCCAATGTTGGACTTTATATTTCTCCAGTTAGCTTGAACACACAGTGAATGCAGTGGTTCTGTGTAGTTCTTTCTGAATTCTGCTTGTTTTTCCCAGTCTGGACTACAGTGGCCCATCGCGAGAGTTCTTCTTCCTGCTGTCTCAGGAGCTGTTTAACCCTTACTATGGCCTGTTTGAATACTCCGCCAACGACACATACACAGTCCAGATCAGCCCCATGTCTGCTTTTGTGGAGAACCACTTGGAATGGTAAGGTTTTTTCCACTTCCTCCCAGTGAATTCCACTTCCTGTGTGGCATGACTAAATTGGCATTGACAGAGAAATAAACAGTGTTGTTATTGCCAGTATGTCTGTTTTTGAGCTTAATTCACGGACCGCATGATTTGACTTGTGCTTTCAGGTTCCGCTTCAGTGGTCGAATTCTCGGCCTGGCTTTGATTCATCAGTATTTGTTGGACGCTTTCTTCACTCGGCCATTTTATAAAGCTCTTCTCAGACTGTAAGTGGACTAGAAATCGTTTAGCTCTATGTAGAGGTTAAAAAAAAAACAGATTTTTTGATGTTGTTGTTGTAAATGTTGTAAAAATAAATGATGGAAAGAGAAGAGAACCCAGTCCAGGAGACTGAAAACAAGCAGAATTTCTTGTCACAGTTGCAGGTTTGTGCGCCTTCCAGAGTGTCTGTTTAGTCACGTGGGTTTGTTTTGTTTTGGTTGTCCACGTGTATTTGTTATGGTCACATGCTATGGAGATGCTCAGCTGTTTTGATTAGCTCGCCAGCTGAGGCTCATTATCATGCCTATATCTGGGCGACGCTTCTATGTTTCTTTGTCAGTTGGTTGTGTTTGCTCATGCGTGTCTGTACTCAAAACTGTGAGGAGGGACCACTGGACCCCGTTCGTCTGTCTGTTTCCTGCCTTGTTTTCCCCTTTTGTCCTTGCACACACATTCTACCCTGTTGGTTCATTTTGACTGCGTCAAATAAACTCATTACTTGCATTTGGATCCTTCTCTGAATTTTTATTTGATTGTGACAGAAAAAGAAACATAGAAGCGTCGCCCAGATATAGCCACGATAATGATCCTCAGCTGGCGAGCTAATCAAAACAGCTGAGTATCGTCATAGCACGTGAACATAACAAATACACGTGACCAAACAGACACTCCGGAAGGTGCACCAACCTGCAACCGTGACATTCTTTTATTGAGACATGTTGGTTAATCTGCAGTCGTACAGCATCTTTAAGAAGTCAATGTGTCTGCAGAGCCTACTGGAGGTCTGCAGTCTGCGAGTTTTATCACAAGTCGGAATTAAGACAATTGTCCTGTCTATAATGTCTTCTTAGGAGGAGGGGAGATGGCTAAACAAAACATGCAAATTCAGTATTGGAGTCAGCATGATAACCTGCATATAGGTGTTAGAGGGTGCTTTCACACTTGGTTTATTTGCCTGGACCGTACCCAAGTTCAATTGTCTCCCCCTTCCACCTCCTCAGTTGGTTTGTGTTCATACTGTCTTTTTTCCTCCTGAACCCCGGTACGCTTGCGTCATCCAGCTGCTGTTTTGTTTACAGCCGTTGCTAGGTGACGGTCACGAAAGCAAGCGCAGAAATGGAAAGACTTCCGCACATCGCGGTCATTCTGCTTTTACTGAAGCTTTTGGTTTTGAACATACAGAAAGCGACTCGCATCTGATCGCAAGTGATTTGCATCACTTTGCCTCGGCCTGTAGTCAAAAAGACAAAGGTTAATGTCTCTCATGGCTGGGCTGTTAATGAAATTATATAATTAAAAACCAAAGAATATAATTTTTCAGTTACTTGCAAATTATTGTTAATTTGAAACTAGATTATATACATTTATATTTCCAAATAAACAAGTATCTTAGTTGAAAACACAATATCATTAATGTAGCAAATTTGTAGCATCATTAATCCAGTTATCACGGTCACATGATTCTTCAGTAACTGGAAGGTTATGGTTTGTTTAGAAGTTTGCGCCAGTAATAGGTAGCACAGTGGCTCAATTCTTAGCACTGTCACCTCACAACTAGAAGGTCATTGATTTGAGTCCCGGATGGGCCAGTTGGCATTTCTGTGTGGAGTCTGTCCCCATGTTGGTGTGGGTTTCCTCCGGGTGTTCCGGTTTCCCCCACAGTCCAAAGACATGCGCTATAGGCGTATTGGATAAAATTAAATTGGCCACAGTGTATGAGTGTGTGTGAATGTGAGAGTGTATGAATGTTTCCCAGGGCTGGGTTTTGGCTCGAATGGGCATCTATTGCGTAAAACATTTGCCGAAATAGTTAGCATTTCATTCTACTGTGGCGACCCCTGATAAATAAGAGACTAAGCCGAAGGAAAATGAATGAATAAATGAATATTTAGTAACAATAAATGTCTTTACTGTCATGTTTAATCAGTTGGGAAAATAATTATATCTTAAAATATCTTTTTGATTAAAATGTTATTAACTGCAATTTTTGTAACTTCAATATGTGCATTGAAATTTGGATCGCACTTTATTTTAATGTACAATTCACACTGTTAACTATGACGATTAGCTGAATAATCTACTACTTTGATGCTTATTAAAGGGGCATGAAACCCCCCTCTTTCAGTTCAAGTCTACCACAGAGCAGGGGAAAAGAGAGAAGTAACTGTTGCCAGTCAGCTCACAAAATGAGACAAACCGTGAGGAGACCCATGATTTTATAGTTTACAAAGTTAAAATGCAAAGAAATAAACAGTAAGTAATTGAATGTCCTGCTACATTTGATATTCGTAATTTCATATAAACATTACCACAATTTCTTACATCATTAGAAAGATAATCATGTTTATATAAACACCATAAATTATGGCGACTTTTCTCCTTCTTATCCCCTGGTCTGAATGCAGACACAGTGGATAGCAGTGCAGCAGATCTCCTGCCATGTCTATTTCAACCATTAGCCCTGCCGGCAATCTGGAGGATTTTAAACATAGGTGAACACAGCAACACGGATATAGGCGATGTGTCTGAATGGTATCAAAATTGCTGATAAAAGACAAAGTCTGCCATTCTACACTTCTCATACAGCTCTCCTGACAAATATGCTTGCTACTGTACAAACCAACAGCTTTTCTGTGTCGGCCTTGACAAAATGGCGGGGAAAAATATGCAACAAACCCCATGGATCATGGAAACAAACAAATACGACATGTGCCGTGCATGTGCTGTGCCGTGTGCAGTCTCACCTAATCGTTAGGTCTGCCTTGCCATCAGAAAGCACGTGCTCTCATGAATAATTAAGAAGCAGGCTCTTCTCATAGGATAAGAAAACTCAGCTATGAATATTAATGAGAAACCAACGCGTCATCACTTCACTAGCAGATTTGCGTTATGTCACAGATTTTAATCCTACCCCCAAAAATTATTTGAAACCCGGAAAATGAAATTAGCTGACAAAAGCTCAAAATTATCTAGGTTTCCTCAAAATTAAAGCTAACAGGTGCTAACATTGTCTTAACTGATGCTCAGCAAACACAAATCTGTAAAAATCTAAAAAAAAGTACTCCAGGGTGTCTTGAACCTTTAATAGTTTGTAAGGTAGTAGTTGGGTTTAGGTATTGGGTAGGATTAGGTATGAAGAATTAAAATCTTATACTAAAAACAGTTAATATCTTAATAATAGGCAGGTAAAAAGCCAGTAGTAAACAGTGTGAATTGTTACTTAAAATAAAGTTTTTTACCGACCTAAATTTGTTGCTGACCTAATTTTCAATAATGGGAATAGATATTATAATCATACAAAATGTGTTAAAAAACTGTTAGATGTTTAAAACATTTTACATATAATAATAAGTAACATACATTGTTTTTTACATGATTATTTTATTTCAATTCACAAAACTGAGAAAATGTATTTAAAACATTTTACAGACTCAAACACATTTAAGCACCCATGTAATCTCTAAATAAATTCATATGTCAGTTAATTAGTAGGTCTGACTAATTTATTAGTCTAGGATTTATCGGAATACTACATGCCATCATAAATTGTGTTGTTTTGTGATGCGCTCTCTCTTTGCAGACCCACTGATCTCAGCGATCTGGAGTATCTGGATGAGGAGTTTCACCAGAGCTTGCAGTGGATGAAGGAAAATGACATCACTGATGTGCTGGACCTCACCTTCACTGTCAATGAGGAAGTGTTCGGACAGGTGGGAAAAGCATGGATGCAAATCCTGCCTTCAAATTCTGAAAATACTTCCAAAATGTCAGTTTATGTGTTAAAAACTTTGTTTATTTTTATTGGGTAAATTTTTAGCTTCAATTAGGACTATGGGACCTATTATGCAAAAATCACTTTTATAAGTGGTTTAAACACAGTTGTGTGGCAAAAATATAGCCAGCTTCTAATGCTGAAGATTACTTTTTATGATCACACTTGATAAAAACAGTCTGCAGAAACACTTTGATTGACATTCTCCCTTTGAACGTGTCATCAAAGAAGGAAAGCCCCGCCCATTAGTGACAATCTCTCCCTTGTTAGCATAAGATGATAGTCTTGTATTTTAATCTGCCACTATGCTGACATACAGACATTTGTAGCTCCACCCTCATTAATCATTAATTGTGTGCGCGTGTGTGTGTGTGTGTATATATATTGTGTGTGTGTGTGTGTGTGTATGTATATATATATATATATATATATATATATATATATATAATATTGTGTGTATATATATAATATTATATTATATATATTTTATTATTATTTTTATATATATATATTAATTTACATATATTTATTCGGTCCAAGCAACATTTCCAGGTTTTGATGACATATACATCAATACTTTAAAAGTACAGCAGTTTTCTTTTTGCTTTTTAAGAACATTGCCATTTTTAATTAACATTTAAAAGCACATTCTAATTTGAACGATTAATTAAAAAAATTGTCTGTAAGTTCAGGTAATGTTTAAACTATTTATAATGCTTAAAGTGCCTGACCGGCAACGCAGTGGCGCAGTAGGGAGTGCTGTTGCCTCACAGCAATAAGGTCGCTGGTTCAAGCCTCGGCTGGGTCAGTTGCCATTTTTGTGTGGAGTTTGCATCTTCTCCTTGCTTTCACGTGGGTTTTTTCCTCCGGGTGCTCTGGTTCCCCCTACAGTCCAGAGACATGCGGTACAGGTGAATTGGGTAGGGTAAAATTGTCTGTAGTGAAGGAGTGTGTGTGTGGATGTTTCCCAGAGATCGGTTGCGGCTGGAAGGGCATCCGCTGCTTGAAAACTTGCTGGATAAGTTGGCGGTTCATTCCGCTGTGGCAACCCCGGATTAATAAAGGGACTAAGCCGACAAGAAAATGAATAAATGAATGAACGTGGCTGACAATAATACATATTTAGGATAATAGGAATTAATCTGCCTGGTTTTTGAACAGTGCAGAGTTGTAGCTGCTTAATTAGGCCTACTACACTACTGTATTTCAATACTGATCATTAAGTCAAAAAGTTTAAGAACCACTGCTATAGTTCATTAAAACTGTTTTCATATGTCTTTATATGAAGCAGCTACTTTAATAAAACATGGGGCAAAGTATTTTGTTATAAATTAAACAATAATCCTCTTTTTCTGTGTTGTTTGTATGTCAGGTGACAGAGCGGGAGCTGAAGTCTGGCGGGACGAATGTGCAGGTGACGGAGAAAAATAAGAAGGAGTACATTGAGCGGATGGTGAAGTGGAGGGTGGAGCGAGGCGTTGTCCAGCAGACACAGGCTCTGGTGCGAGGATTTTATGAGGTAAACATGCTTAACATCCAATTTACTCTCTGCTGTGTACTATTAAGTCCAAGTGCCATCATTTAACCTCTGACCTGTGCATGCATGTGTGCAGGTGGTGGACTCTCGTCTGGTGTCTGTGTTTGATGCCAGAGAGCTGGAGCTGGTCATCGCAGGAACAGCAGAGATCGATTTGAACGACTGGAGAAACAACACAGAGTACAGAGGAGGTCAGAGCACACTCACAAATATATATAAATGCGTTCAAAAAATACACCAATACACTGTTACTGTGATTGGAGCATCAGCAAACTTTTGTATCATCACAAAAGCTATTAAAACACTCTTTAATGGGTTTTTTTCAAACAATTAAATTGTTAGTTTACAATAAATTGAAGATTCTGTTAATAATTACTCACCCTCATGTCATTTCAATTTAATGTGACCTTTGTTTGGAATACAAATGAAGATATTTTAGATGAAATTCAACCCTCCATACACAGCAACGGCCCTAAGACTTTCAAAGTCTAGAAAAGCACCCAAAAACATTGTCAAAATCTTACATTTGTGACTTCAGTGGTTCAACTGCAATGATTCAAATCCCCAAGAACACTTCAACAAGAATAACATGAGGGTGAGCAATTAATAACAGGATTTATAATAATAACACGGGGCAGCACGGTGGCGCAGTGGGTTGCACAATCGCTTCAAAGCAAGAAAGTCGCTGGTTCGAGCCCTGGCTGGGTCAGTTGGCATTTCTATATGGAGTTTGTCTGTTCTCACCTTGTTCGCATGGGTTTCCTTTGCAGTCCAAAGACATGCGCTGTAGGTAAATTGAGGCTAAATTGGCCATAGTGTATGCGAAGAGTGTGTGGCTGTTTCCCAGTGTTGGGTTGTGGCTGGAAGGGTGTCCGCTGCATAAAACATGCTGGATGAGTATTACTTTTTTTGCGAACTTTAAAAAGATTTGCTTCATGTTAGGATAAAAAGGCATAATTTAAAGGGTCACGAAACACCAAAACACATTTTTTGAGCTGTTGACAGTCGTATATGTGTCCCCCACTGCTAAAAACACTATTAGGACACCTATATTTCACTAAAAAGTGTAAATTGGTTGTTTTTTCATTATTTTAAGCAAATTCGTACTTCCGGTTTGAAACTAATTTTAGAAGCTGCGTCACGGCCATGACATAATAGCGTTGTATTCCAGCGTGCAGACTGGGCGTCTGTGCCAGAGTGTGTCTTATTACGTCTTACAGTGTGATGCATTAATGCATGAGTAAGGCTTGGTTCAAACCAATCAGCGCGCTCTATTGTGCAACTTCATTAATATTCATTACTGTCATAGTCTTTAGACGACAGAGACGCCACGTTGTGTTGGCAAAACAACCGTGAAGTGTTGCTTTTATAATTTGCTGCCGTTAAGTTTTGTTTTCATTTTCTCTCTGTGAGAGCGCAGCTGGAGTCACGCGTGGATTACAGTGTATGCGACGCTCGACAACAATAACTTACGTGTCTAATGAGGATTATTGTTTACCTGAGAGCTGTTCTCATCTGCAAACGCTGAGATCCATATTCGCTTTAGTCTCCTCTTAATAAAGACGCGGCTCTAGTTGCTGTGGATTGTCCTGTCTCTACAGATTTGGTAAGTGAGCGACCAGTGCTCTTTGTTTATTCAGTTTGTTCGTATCGAACTAAGTTAACTATTGCACCGAATGTAAACATGTTAGCACCACAACCAAACTTTAACCTCGTGTAGGATTTTCGCCGCATTTTGTGACCGGAATAACACACGCAGCTTTCTGACGCTACCTGCCGTGTGCATCTAAGTTTGCGGGACATGCTGAGGTTTTTTTCTCTCATTCGCCGTGCGGTATCAAACATTGCATGAAAAATACATTCTTAGAGCAGCTCCTCGAATCAAATATCTTGTTTGTCGCGAGGGACATGAATGAATTCCCTGAATGAAAGAGCCAAACTGCAGTTAAAGTCCACTATTTAATAATTTGGCAAATAATTCGACTACAGATGTCCATGTAAACACAGTCCCTTTCTCCCCTGTGTGGGTGTGTGTTTTGACTCTGAAAGTCAGCGCGCCCAAATAGACACTCCCACACCAAGCCTCTTTTCTTTCTCCGACACTCCCCCCTAAACAGAGCTGGACACGCCCACTTTTCAGACTTTTTCCAAAGTAGAGGTGTGAAAACACCCTGCTGAAACGAGGGGGTCTCATGGCCCTTTAAGACATACTAATCCTAAAATGAACATCATATATTGTGATGAAGAAGTGTGAAATGCTGGAAAGAAAAATACGGCCATTATTCTGTAATTAACTCCCCAGAGATATTAAGGAACAAGTAATGTATTTGTTTCAGGAAGAGATATTTCTTCCGATTTTTTTTTGTATATCTTGTATTTCTGCTGTGTATCAGGTTATCATGACGGGCACATTGTGATCCGCTGGTTCTGGGGAGCAGTGGAGCGCTTCAATAATGAGCAGCGGCTGCGTCTGCTGCAGTTTGTGACGGGCACCTCCAGCGTGCCGTATGAGGGCTTTACCGCCCTACGTGGCAGCAATGGACTGAGACGCTTCTGCATTGAGAAATGGGGAAAGATCACATCACTCCCAAGGTACAGTCATACAGCCCTGCACAATCCAGCTGAGGTGGAGAATCATCTCAAAGGTGTAGGTTAGGGCTGCACGATACTGGGAAAATATGCAATATGGAATATTGTTTTGATAGTGATATTTCTTACATTTTAACTAGCTTACGATCTAACTAAATAATTAACTAACGTTATTAAATCAAAAAAGTATGTCTAGCTGCAAAGAATTATACTTTAAAATCCCTCGAATGACTAAAAACCTCAGTGGAAATTTTGATACTGTGAAAATATGCGATATGGAATGTTGTTGCAATAGTGATATTTCTTACGATAAAAATAACTTACGATATAACTAACTAACTATCTAACTAACTATCTAACTAACTAACTAACTAACTAACTAACTAACTAACTAACGATATTAAATTAAAAAACTATTTCGAGGTGCAAACATTTATACTTTAAAATCTCTCGAATGACTAAAAACCATAGTGGAAATTTTGATACTGGAAAAATATGCGATAGGAATGTTGTTGCGATAGTTCAATTCAATTCAGCTTTATTTGTATAGCGCTTTTACAATGTAGATTGTGTCAAAGCATCTTCACATAAATGGTCATAGTAACTGGAACAGTGTAGTTCAGTTTTTAGTGTTTAAGTTCAGTTCAGTTTAGCTCAGTTCTGTGTGATTTAAAATCATTACTGACAGTTCAAACACTGAAGAGCAAATTCATCGATGCGTAGCTCAACCAATCCTGAACCATGCGAGCCAGTGGCGACAGCGGAGAGGGAAAAAAAACTTCACCAATAGGAAAGTGAAGAAAAAAAACCTTGAGAGAACCAGAGTCAGTTGGGCACGACCATTTTAATTTCTCCGCTGGCTGGATAGTGATATTTCTTACAATATAACTAACTTACGATCTAACTAACTAACTAACAATATTAAATTAAAAAACTATGTCAAGGTGCAAATATTTATACTTTAAAATCCCTCGAATGACTAAAAACCTCAAAGGAAATTTAGATACAGGGAAAATATGCGATATGGAATGTTGTTGCGATAGTGATATTTCTTACAATATAACTAACTTACGATATAACTAACTTTCAATCTAACTAACGATATTAAATAAAAAATAAAAAAAACTATGTCAAGGGGTTAACATTTAGACTTAAAAATCCCTCGAATGACTAAAAACTTTAGTGGAAAATTTGATACTGGAAAAAATATGCGATATGGAATGTTATTGCGATAGTGATATTTCTTACGATATAACTTGCAAAAAGCTGCTTTATCAGCTATTTAAAAATAAGTTCATTTATTTATGTTATGCTCATGCTAAAATAAACAGATAATAGATGTTTTTTTTTAAAAGTTAAACATTTTTAAAAAGATCAACATTTTAATGTCCTTTTATTTTAATCCACATTAAATATAATTTTTTTTAAATAAAATGGTTAGATTTTTTTTTTATTTGTCAATTGTATGATTTGTCCACAGTGTCTCTTCTGTGGTAATTATTTATTTAATTTATTATTTAAATTTAGTTTTCTGTGTTAAGTATCACTGCATACATGATCTAACCAATCCAAATTCATTTTCTATGTTTACAATATACATTTTAGTCTAATAATTCATTTTTATTGTAGTTAATAATACAAATTATGTGTTTAACAGTATAATGTTAAATGAACAGTAATGAGTTATAGTAATTAAAAATTGCAAGATTTAATATTATGATGTAAAACTAACATTAAATTATTTGATAGATATAATTTGAAATCCAATCATAAAAATCTTTTACATTTTTCAGTAATTATTAATGAAAATCATTAAATTACTTTAAAAATCCTTTCAAATTCTTATGAATTAAATTAATCTTGATTTTGCTTTCATTTTTTCACTGCTCTCACCAATATTACACATAACCTGACATAAAAAAATTGATAGCAAGGTTCATACAGGTAGCAGGGTTCATAAGGTCATGGAAAACCTGAAAAAGTGGTGGCATTTTTACATGGCATTTTCCAGGCCTGGAAAAGTTTTGGAAAAACCCAAACAGTTTTGGAAAAGTCCTGGATATTACATTAACAAATATCTGTACACTTGAATATTAGTTAGTTGTCTTTACTTATTTTCTGTCCTTGGCCAAACACATGCTCTCACATTATTAGTGCTGCACTGTAAAACCCAACAGTCAACTTTATCAAATGAAATGAGTGTAGTTAACTCAAAATTGACAGAAAGTTAACTCTACTCATTTGAAAAGTTTTGAACTCAGTGTTGAAGGTAAAGAGTTAATTAAATACCTCATTACTTTAATGAATTAGGTTCACAGTTCTCATATAGATTAGTTTTTTAACTCAAATGGTTTGTAGCAATCGTTTTCCTCAAATGGTTTGAGTTGCCTTAACTTATTGAGTTTTACAGTACTCAGTTGGTTTGAGTTCTCTTCATTTATTGGATTTTACTGTGCTCAAATTGCTTTGTTTACTCAAATAGATCAAGTTCACAGTACTCATTAGGAGTAGTTTTTTTTTTAACTGAAATGGTTTGAGTTGCCTTAACTTTTGGGGTTTTACAGTGTGTCTAAGCATCATCTAAATAAATTTTAAATAGATCTAAAAACTATTAAAACTAACATTAATTTACTTATTTACTTATTAATTTACTTAACTAGATAATTGTTGCATGTTTTATGATATGCTGTTATAATTTTAAACGTGCATTGTTTTTCTTATTATTTACCACATATATGTAGACATCACATGACACATTAAGTCATAAAAAAGTTAACTAGAAAGTACTGAAATTTTTGTCAATGTCAATGTCAATTTTATTTATATAGCACTATTATACACAACAAAAGGTTGACCAATGTGCTGAAAAATACAAATCACATAGAACAAATATAAAATTATAGCTAAAACAAACAATTCTCACTAATAGTTATTATAGCTAAAAACAAACAAATCTTACTGATATTTATTATAGCTAAAAATAAACAATTCTCACTGATAAAATGCCAAATTAAAAAGGTAAGTTTTCAACCTAGATTGAAAAACAGACAGAGATGATATAAACCTAATACAGAGAGGCAGAGCATTCCACAAGGTAGGACCAGCTATTGCGAAAGACCGGTCACCCCTGCATTTCAGCCTCGACTTTTGAATGTAAAATAGTCTCTGGTTAGATGACCGAAGAAACCGACTAAGCTGATGTTCAGTCAACAGGTCTGACAGGTAGGAAGGAGCTAGGCCATTTAGAGATTTAAAAACCAGGAGAAGAATTTTATAAGTGACACGATAGTGCACAGGCAACCAGTGCAAAGAGCGCAAAACTGGTGTAATGTGGTCAAATTTTTTGGTACTGGTTAAAAGCCTTGCAGCAGCATTTAGAACTAACTGTAGGCGGGATAGAGTTGTCTGACTGATCCTAAAATATAGCGCATTACAGTAGTCCAATCTCGAAGTAATAAAAGCATGAATTATTTTTTCAAAAATTTTTCTAGATAAAATAGGTTTGACTGTTTTTAAAAGTCGAAGCTGAAAAAAGCAGGTCTTGACCACTGCGCTAATCTGTTTATCAAATCTTAAGCCATCGTCAAAGATAACACCCAGATTTTTTACAAAACGCTTCACAGAAAAACCCAATTCCCCAAGACCTGCTGGTGGTGTCCTAGAATAATTTGATGAGCCGAACACAATTATTTCAATTTTACTCTCATTAAAATCTAGAAAGTTCAAAGACAACCAGGCTTTCACATCCGACAGGCATAAGAGTCTCCAGTCCACTTGAACTCGGTTTTAAAGGCAGGTAAATTTGAGTGTCATCTGCATAACACTGGAAAGACAGACTATGTTTTCTAAAAACAGAACCCAGGAGAAGCATATATGAGGAAAAGAGAATAGGGGCTAAAATAGATCCCTGAGGAACACCACATGACAAAAAGGCTGCCTCAGAGGAATTTTAGTCATAAAAAAGTCTATGAACCCTGTAGTAGTCCAAATAGGACACAGAATTGTGTTCAGTCTTGCTGATGTATGTCTCTCATGTTTCTCAGGGCGCACACATGCTTTAACCGTCTGGATCTTCCACCATATCCATCCTACACGATGTTATACGAGAAACTCCTGATCGCTGTGGAAGAGACCAGCACTTTTGGCCTTGAGTGAGGGCTTCACATGAAACACCGTCCTCTGGGAGAGCTCCACTTGTACACTGTATGTATTTCTCTACTAGCGTGGATCGTTTCTTTGGTTTGTTCAGGACACCACTGCATGCTTCTGTCGCCTGCGCAGGTGGACGGTGAGTAACGGGTACACAATAGTGATCAAAAAAAAGAGAAGCCTTCAACCTGCTTTAACACTCAGGGCCTCGACCTCCGCTGGAGTCGCTCTCAGTTCACACACACCATCATCATTTCAACGCAAAACCGCCACGGCCGGCGTCCTTCACATTTTCACATCGATGAGAATTGTAAAATGAAAAACCAAATACGCTCACAGAAAATATTGAACGAAGGTGCCGTGATTACTGTACATGTGTGCACTAGTGCTGAGTTCACATAATCTCACCCCACACCACATCATCACAGGAAGTGACGTCATTTTGCAGGAGTCAAAGAAGTGGGATTATGGATGTCCAAACCTTGCTTTGATAGTTTTGGGTTATTATTATTATTATAGTTATAATAATGGGATGTATTCAAAGCATCAGTAATGTACATTGAAAGATGGATGTTCAAGGCTTCATGCCGTTTCATGTTTCGTCTGTAATGAAATTCAAACTAATTTTGCCGAAAAAGAACTTTGTGTGACGTATACCACGGTCTTAAGGATGTAAGATATGTTCTTTAATGTACTTTAATGCTAATCAACGGAACAAATTCGATCAGAATATATTTAATGTTTATAGGGATTCACAAAGCTGGTTCTGAAAGTACAGTTTTACATTCATTTTTTCCATAGGAAAGTCTTTGTTAGTACATTTTGAGCCATCTACGAGGAGAATCGCAACATAAAACTTCATTTGAAGCAAGATTTAAAACAAAATATGTGAAAGTTTGACAAAAAAAAAAAACAGAAGTACAAGACTCTGTTCTTAATGGCTTTAATGAAGGAAAGAACTACAACCCCATGAAGCACTGCAAAAAATCAAAATCAACAGAAAAGACAGAAATATAAAAATATTTATTTAATTGTTGGTTGGATCTAATATATTTCAGGTTTATAGCAAAATATAAATACGTATGCAGTAAGCATTTTGAAGGGAGCATTTTTAAAGACCAGTTTTGCTGCACCTTTCTGATTGGTGGAAATTCTGTACTGCATTATGGTTAATGTAGTTTTTCTCCACAAATACTATTACTAAGCAGTTTTTTTAAATAGATTATTATGTATGTAATTAATGTAAACTGTTGTGTTTAGAAAAAGCATATACAAATATTTAACAACCTCAGAGATTAAAAGAGATCCGACTTTAAAAGTTTCTTTACAGTAAGTTCTTGTGGAGAAAATAAATGGAGTTTTTAACTTTCAGAACTTGACAGTTGCTCCCTATTAAACAACTATGGAACATCAGTGATTGGTTGATTTTGAACCAATGAGACTGCACTGTGGATGGAGCCTCCCAGCAATGAGTTGAAAATGTAAACGTCTTAAGACACTGTGTAAAGTTGAATTCATTGTGACGACGATTTTAAGCGATTTGAATGAACAAATAATGGCGCGATGTGGGTGTGTACTTTATGCAAATAAGTAATGCAGTGCACAGCCAATGGAAATTAATATTGTTCATTGAGATTATTTATGCACTGCTGCATAATTTTTTTTTAGCGTGCCAATTTCTAGAGTCTGAAATATATCCGCTTGTTAACGCCCCATTCACATTGTGTGTCAGCATCAATGCTTCCCATTCAATTTGAATGGGTGACGTCAGGCATTGCCGTGCTGCATTGTGGATCCATTGGCGCCGCTTCAGTGGCAGTGCTCGCTGCAGAAGTTGGGAGTTTTTTAACTTTTCAAGCGCGGATGGAAGCGTCAGCCAATCAGAACACTGTATGCAAATACACCAGCTCAGACAGTAGCAGATTGCTGACTAATTTCATTGGCTGACGCTGCTTTGACGATCGCGTCAGCCCCAACTTCAGACACGCCCTCTTTCAAGTGTTGACGCTAAAGTCCCGTGTGAATCAGACTCAACAAATAGTAATAATAAACATTTACATAGCGATTTAATAGTTTCGAAAATCACAATCTCAATATATATATCCATGCCTAATATCCAATGGCCAGAAAGGGATAAACTTTTTATAAATTGTTCAAATATTGATGTCTGTGATGCAGCACGTCTAGAGACTGTTGTGCACACCATTTCATATAAAATTCACATTAATGTGTGGTAGGACTAAAAAGTGGCCATAAACGAATATTTTCTCCGTTCAACCGAGTAGCAGCTTGGACCTACTGTAAAAACTGTATACGTCAAGACTTAAAACAAAACTGCATTTGCTTTTTCAGAAAAACATATTCGTTTGTTATTTATTTATTTCCGTTTTTAAGCCCAGAATTTTTATAACCGTCTGCATTCCCCTTGGCAGCTGCTGCATCATATTTGCTGCTCATTTGCATAAACGTTGTTGTCGCATCACTAGCTTTCACTGATGCCACGCTACGCTCTCCCAATGTTTATAAAAATGTGCTTTTATTTTTTCTCTTACTTATATGTCTTTTTATGAGTACAATTATTAAAAGGACTGTAAGAAATGACCAAATAGGATTTGTGCACCAAACGTTGCGACCTTTAGAGTTTCAGCTGTTTGTGTGTTTAAAGGTGAAGAGCAGTCAGATCTTCTCAAAGTGATTTATTTATTCAAAAGAGGAAGTTTAATGTCAGAGTGGTTTAATGGTGTGGGCTGGGTTATTGACGACTATATTCCTGTGCTGAAGTTTTTATCATTGTTCATGTTTACATTTTTAAAATGATGTGAATGTTTATTATACATGAATCGTCATAATTGTCTTAACATGATGCCTTCAAAGGGGCATGTGTTTCTGTGTCTAATCCACACCTCGTCCATCACTCTTAGTTTTATCTCCAAATATTTTCCTAAAGGGATTGTTCACACACACACAAAAAAATGTTATGGAAGGTGATTGGCCAAAAGTCTTTAAACAAAATGCATTCAATTTGATCTTGTCCAATAAGTGTGTTAAATTTGAACAATGTTTTCATACACCGTCTGACCATTTTGATAGTAGACATTTTTATGTAAAGGGATATAACATATAAAGTGCATACGTATGTGCCAGTATACCGTTACAATATCCTTCATGAATAAACTTGTCATTTGATATTTGTATATGTATATCCTAATGTTCCATCGATGCACATAATCAAATTTTATCTGTTACAGAAGATTTAATGGCTGTTACGCTTGATATGTCGACTTTCAATTAGTTTAAAGACGTTTTGGCACCATTCACCCTCCATATTGTCTGAAACGTAAACCTAAAATAAATAAATAATCGCAGCATTAAAACGAACCACACCTCCACTCTGCTTAAGATATTAGGAATGTAGAAAAAGTGCATTTGTATTATTTATCCCAATGAAGAAATTATAAAATGTCTGTATATCAAACGTGTACATATTTGCTTGAACGGTCTATGTAAAACACAGATTTTAAAATGTGATGAATCAATTCAACAGCTCATCTTTTTTTAAGAAACACATCTTCATACTTACTATTTGCGTAATGTTGGGTTTCTCAAGTGTATATTACTATGCATATTTGGTTGGAGTTATAGGAAATGCTTCTCTTTGACGGATGTTTGTGAAGCTTGTTTCTTCATTTGTGGAGGCACTCGCAGCTGGCGGGAAATGTGTGAGAGAAATGAGGAGAAGGTTCTGGATCAGTCAGCAATGCCTCACTGCCTCCCTATGGAAACAAAAACAAAAAACAGAAATATTTGGCTCCTGCTTCCACCTCGGACACAACCCCTTGGCCTGCTTATGTCTTTTTACACTTTAATCTATATGTATGGAAGAAGAGAAGACGAGCGCAAATGTACAAATGTTTTGAATCGTGTCTGAGGTAACTTATAGCGCCTCTCTCAGGCTGAGCTCTGTAACTACAACATAATAAACACTTAACGAATGTCAATAAACAATCACTTTCTATTGCACAACTGACTGGCAGGAAATCAATTTTAGTAAACATTTGTCTGTTTGTCCGTTGTTTTATCAAATCTATGATAAATTAATTTTAACATGCGTCCATCTACTGCTCCATTATTTGACGGCTTGATAAAGCCATAACATGCTAACAACATGCTAATTCATTCTAGAATTATGCTAACAGCATGTTAAAATCATGCAGGCAACAAGCTAATATGGTCTACTTTCATATAGTCCTTCATTCTTTTTTGTTTTTATCGTACTATCCACCTTTCATTCTGTTTCATCCATCATTGTATTATTTGTTCATTCATTTCCTTTGTTCTACTGCTCCGTTGCTCTTTTATAGTTTGTCATCCATCCATCCATCATATAATTGCTCCATCTATCGTTACTTCTGAAAAGACAGAACAAAAAACAGCTTAAACCAGTCTAGGCTGGTTTTACCTGGTTGACCATCCTGCTTTTAGAGGGGTTTTGGCCATTTCCAGCCTGGTTTTAACTGGTCTTAGCTGGTTTTAAATGACCAGCTTGACCAGCCAGGCTTGGGAGCCAAGTCAAAACTAGCTACACAGTATGTACAGCTTAAACCAGGCTGGTCAAGCTGGTTTTAGCTGGTCATTTTAAAGCCTGACCAGACTGGAAATGGCTGGAAACCAGCCTGTAAATGGCCAAAACCCCTCTAAAACCAGGCTGGTCAACCAACTAAAACCAGCCTAGGCTGGTTTGAGCTGTTTTTTCGGCAGGGTTGTGTTTTATTTCATTGATCAGTCTGTACTTTTTACAGTCATTGGTCTGTACATAGGTCGTTCATGTCCATCATTCATTCTTTCCATCTGTCTAACTTGTTTAATATTCTGTGGTTTCTTCTTTGTCATTTTCAATCCATCAATCATATCAATCCATCGTACTGCTCTGGCCATCTTACTATTACAGTACTTACTATTCTTATTTCAGTATTTATTTCTCCGGTTCTTTCTATTGTTCTGTCAGTCCTTCATTCTATCAATCTGATATTATTGTGTCGTTCGTTTGTCTTTTCATATCATGTTTTGTCATCCCTCAATCCACATATCTAACATTTTATTATTAGAGGTCATAGTTTCAGTTCATCATTCTTTTTAGCATCCGTCCATCTATTTTTCTATCCGTCATGCTTTAATTTGTTATAGACCATTTCAATGTGGTCATGTCATTGGCCCGTGAACATTTCCTGTTTATTATCAAACTATTTCATGATTGTAACAAGAGGCAATTCAATCATAACTTCATGTTAAAACAGCTGTCATGACATTTTTTATCAATATGTGGCTCTTTTTGGAGTCGCAAAGGCTATAGAAATGAAAAATGTAAAACAGGAAATACGTTGGGACCCTTGTTTTTGTTTACATCCCTCAAAATGGTCTTTAACACTAATACAGTGATATTAAGCATGTATTTAAATGGCTTTTGCCTATTTATAGAATGCATATGATATTTAAAAATATTACAAACTGAACATTAATTTAAGAATATGGTGTGTTTAGTAAATATAAAATTAATATAGTCATTTAATCCTGTCTTCACAGTCCTTCTCATACATCTGTTTAGTCCTAATATTTAAGGAAACGTATGGAGCCAACAGAAATGTGCTGTAACCAGCCAGCAGACGCTCTTTGACCACAGTAATCTGTAAAAAATGAATGAATATAAAAGCAATGTATTAAACCGTCGTGGCATTTAGGGATTTGTACATTTCGTTGGCTTCCCTGTGATGTAATATAAATATATTTGTCATAAATCAGATCAGATATGATTGGAGGAGGTATTTCTGTGTTGGCAGATGAAGGCGAGGACAGATGGTCTCCAGAGCTCTGTGGAATATGAGGATGGATATTTCTGGAGCAGGGGCACGTGGTTTTGGGGGAGAACAGTGGTAGTTTTGAAGAACTGGAGAGAGAGGAAGAGGAGGGAAGTTTGAGAAATGAAGACCCAACTCGCTGTGAAAGCAGGTTTAAAAAAAAAAATTGATTCAAAAGTAATTCAGAGAGAACTGAAGAACAGATTTCTAATGCACGGCACAGAATGCAGTCCTAATAATTTCTCACATACCATTTTATTTATATTATACATGCATAATTAAACATGCATATGAGAACGCAACATTAATTTAAAAATTCCTCAATATTCTGAATAACAAATTAATGTTGCATTGTGCAATATGCATTTTGTTATAATTGCATTCTGTACAGTACATACTCCATACTGATAATGGTATTTTTAAGCTTTAAAAAAAAATGGCTACTAAGTATTTACTAAGTTTTTTTTTTTTTTTGTCAGTAACAAGTAATTTTATTACTGTTTTCCCCTGTAAAAACACCATTACAGTTACTTACAATAACATGCAGTTATATACTCACCGGCCACTTTATTAGGTACACCTTACTAATACCGGGTTGGATCTCCTTTTGCCTTCAGAACTGCCTTAATCCTTCGTGGCATATATTCAACAAGGAACTGGAAATATTCCTCAGAGATTTTGGTCCATATTGACATGATAGCATCACTCAGTTGCTAGATTTCTCGGCTGCACATCCATGATGCGAATCTCCTGTTCCACCACTTCCCAAAGGTGCTCTATTGGACTGAATTCTGGTGACTGTGGAGGCCATTTAAAAGCAGTCAACTCATTGTCAATTGTCATGACATGTCATAAAGGGATGGACATGGTCAGCAACAATACTCAGGTAGGCTGTGGCGTTGACACGATGCTCAATTGGCACTTATTGGCCCAAAGTGTGCCAAGAAAATATGCCCCACGCCATTACACCACCACCAGCTGCCTGAACTGTTGATAAAAGGCAAGACAGATCCATGCTTTCATGTTGAGGCCAAATTCTGACCCAACTGTCCGAATGTCGCAGCAGAAATCGAGACTATTCAAACCAGGCAACATTTTTCCAATCTTCTATTGTCCAATTTTGGTGAGCCTGTGCAAGTTGTATCCTCAGTTTCCTGTTCTTAGCTGACAGGAGTGGCACCCGGTGTGGTCTTCTGCTGCTGTAGCCCATCTGCCTCAAGGTTGGATGTGTTGTGTGTTCAGAGATGCTCTTCTGCATACCTTGGTTGTAACGAGTGGTTAAGTTACTGTTGCCTTTCTATCTGCTGGATACAGTCTGGCCATTCTCCTCTGACCTCTGGCATCAACAAGGCATTTGCACCCACAGAACTGCCGCTCGCTGGATATTTTCTCTTTTTCTGAACATTCTCTGTAATCCCTTGAGATGGTTGTGCGTGAAAATGCCAGTAAATCAGCTGTTTCTGAAATACTCAGACTAGCCTGTTGGGCACCAACAACCATGCCACGTTCAAAGTGACTTAAATCACCTTTCCTCCTCATTCTGATGCTCAGTTTGAACTGCAGCACATCATGCCTAAATGCATTGAGTTGCTGCCATGTGATTGGTTGATTAGAAATTTGCGTTAACGAGCAGTTAGACTGGTGTACCTAATAAAGTGGCCGGTAAGTGTTTGTCAAATCATGATGAATATCATTTTTCTGTAATTGAGGTCACTAAAGCGGTTTTTATCTGAGTATGCTCTTTAAAATAATAATAAAAAAGTAACACAATAAATACTTTCCCTGGTAACATTTATAATGATCTAACTCGGTTACTGTTTGTGAGAAGTATCCTGCCCATAGGCCCACACGGAATCTGCGCGCGCAGAATTCCGCAGATTTTTCGCAGAATTCCGCAGATTTCTGCCAATTTTTAGCCCATTATTAATTCTGTTTATTTACTTACATTTAATTGGTAAATGTGTAAATCTGAATTTATTCAGTAATTTATTACTTTTTATTTAATATATTAAGGTTTTAGATATGATACTCCACTGGATACTCCCAAAATAATTCTGCAGAAATCCGCAGATTTTTACTAAAATTCTGAGCAGAAATAGCAAAAAATGTCCGCAGATTCCGTCTGGCCCTGCTCATAACTGCTCTATACATAGTAGACCTAGTATGCTTATCATTTTATTATTCTAATGAAAATAATGCATGGAAATGGTGAAATAAATTAATTAAATAAACGTAGAGCAAAATATGCAAAACATATAAACAAAATTATGCTCACACTGTATTTTAAAGTACAATTCTCACATTTAATCATTAAATGTGGCTTTTAGCTCAATAAACAACTTATTAGCTCCTTATTAATAGTTATTATGGTTGGGTTTAAGTATTGTAAATGATTAGGCATATAGAATTAGATTATACTTTATAAGTACTCATAATCAGCCAATATGGTTTGGTAATAAGCCTGTAGTAAATACCGGAAACTGCTATTCAAAGTGTTATCAAAATTTATAAACACAAATGATTTATATTAATATTATCACTTATATTATATTTGGTGTTCCTTTGGTTCTCTTTCCTCAATCTTTCCGCTATGTTCCGCATTTGGAGTCAGTGGGAGTTTGGAGATTTGGAGACGCTGAACTGGGTCACTGTTGTGGACGAAGTCTGTTTACTCCTGTTCATATCTAATGGTTGTTATGAGCAGAGTATGATCTAAATTTGTCAAATGAAAAAGCCTTAGACTGACGGAGGTATCTGGGGAAATCTTTCAGAACGTGGCCTGAAAAATCAATCATGCCTCAGGCAAAATCTTCATGCAGATTTATCTGCAGAAATTTTGGGTAACGCTTTCTTTTACAACCCGCAAAGTACCGCGTAAGTACAGTGAAATTACAGTGTACTTTTCTGTACGTACTGTGTAAGTATAATGAACGTATGTGTAGGTATAAGGGAACAAACCGTAATGCTTGGGTAAAAAGGGGGTAACAACCAGATGTTCATCACGAAAATTACCGCGTAAGTACAGTGAAATAACGGTGTACTTTTCTGTACCTATAGTGTAAGTATAAATAACGTTTACGTAAGTATAAGGGAACAAACTGTAATGCTCGGGTAATAAGGGGATAACAACCAGATATTTAGCATAAAAGGTACCGCGTAAGTACAGTG